CCAGCCCCCCCCCCCCCCTTCTCAGCCAAGCCATGTCCTTGAACTCTAGGGAATCCAGTGACCGGAAAGCAGGCTTCCCATGCTCTCCGTCTGTGGGTTTGTTTCTGTGGGTGTTCAGGACTCTGCTTTCCCTTCTTGGGGCGCTCTCTCTCTCTCTCTCTCTCTCTCTCTCTCTCTCTCTCTCTCTCTCTCTCTCTCGCTGTGAAATTCTGTAGTTGTTTGTTTTCTTTTGTTTGTTGGGGGTGTGGGTGATGAAAGATTTGAGGTCTCACGTAGCCCGTGCCAGCCTCAAACTCTTTATGTAACTAAAGATACCTTGAACTCTTGACCCTCAGCCCTTCACCTCTCCAGCGCTGGGATTAACATAGTTTCTCCGTGGTTTGTTTTGTCCTGGTGTGTTCCTGGAGGTGTCTGTGTGTAGTCACATATAGCTCTACTTCTGCATCGATTTGACTTTCTCTATCCTTCCGAGTGTCCCTCTTTCTCTCTCTCTCTCTCTCTCTCTCTCTCTCTCTCTCTCTCTCTCTCTAGTTTTCTATTTCTGTGGGGGCTTTTCATGAGTTTGTTAGTTTGGTTGGTTGGTTAGTTTTGGTTTTTTGAGACAGGGTCTCACTATGTATCTCTGGCTGTCCTAGAACCCAGTGTGTAGACCAGGCTAGCCTCTGCCTCCCAAATGCTGGGATTAAAGGCACACACTGCCATACCTGGCTTAGTTTCCTATTTCTGTCTCTTTACAGGGTTTCCATCATCTGTCTGCCTCACTGTGAATATAACTAAAATATATATTCTATTTTTCTTTTCTTGGAACTTCAAAAAATTTCATTTTTAATTTAAAAAATGTATATGTATGGATAGTTCGCTTGTATGAACAGAAGCCAGAAGATGATATAGAATCCCTTGGGACTAGAATTACAGACAACTTTGAACTGCTAATGTGGGTGTTGGGAATCAAAGCTGGGTCCTCTGGGAAAACAGCCAGTGCTCCTAACCCCAGAGCCACCTCTGGGGCCCACTAGCCCATCTTTCTTTGGACTTAGCGTGTTCTATGCCCTCTGCAGAGGAGTCTATCCCATGTTAGAAACCCATGTTAGAAACGTGCCTGTCACCACACCCCTATATGGCTTTGGGGGGACACCAACCTTCGTTACCCCCACCTTTCTCATGCCTAAACTCCAGGGGAGCGGACACACACACACACACAGTCACTTCTAGTTTAGAGAGGTTTATTCCTCGGGAATATCCTCAGCACAAGGGGTGGGTGGGAGCCACGGCTCAGCCCTCAAACTTCTTCTTGCGGCCCTCCATTCCACTCAGCGCATCAATGTTCTTGCGCCAGTCTCCCACCTCCCGGTTTTCCTGGAGGTAAAAGGTCAGAAGTTCAGAACTCTTTCTGACATTTATCCCCTAAATATCCCTCTCTCTGCCACTTTATGCTGAACGCCTGTCCAAGAATCTGGTTCTAGAGCGCTTCTTGGCCCCTTAGACAATCAGGCCAACTTCCTTGCACCTCAGTTCTCCCCCATACACCTCTAGTCACCCCCATGTACTTCTTGCCTCCCCGATGCATTTCCTGTCTCCACTATGTACTTCTTGTCTCTCCCAGATGCCTCCAGTCTCCCCGCGGCACCCCCACTGCCCCCGGGCACCTCCATTCTCCCCGCGGCACCTCCAGTCTCCCCCAGGGGCCTCCAGTCTCCCCCCGGGCACCTCCAGTCTCTCCCAGGCACCTCCAGTCTCTCCCTGGGCACCTCCAGTCTCCCCCCGGGCACCTCCAGTCTCCCCCAGGCACCTCCAGTCTCCCCCCCCCGGGCACCTCCAGTCTCCCCCGGGCCCCTCCAGTCTCTCCCGGGCACCTCCAGTCTCTCCCGGGCACCTCCAGTCTCCCCCGGGCACCTCCAGTCTCCCCCGGGCACCTCCAGTCTCCCCCGGGCACCTCCAGTCTCCCCCGGGCACCTCCATTCTCCCCGCGGCACCTCCAGTCTCCCCCAGGGGCCTCCAGTCTCCCCCCGGGCACCTCCAGTCTCTCCCGGGCACCTCCAGTCTCCCCCGGGCACCTCCAGTCTCCCCCGGGCACCTCCAGTCTCCCCCGGGCACCTCCAGTCTCCCCCGGGCACCTCCAGTCTCTCCCGGGCACCTCCAGTTTCTCCCGGGCACTTCCAGTCTTCCCCGGGCACCTCCAGTATCCCCCGGGCACCTCCAGTCTCTCCCAGGCACTTCCAGTCTCCCCCAGGCGCCTCCAGTCTCCTGGTACTTCCTGCCCTTTGCTACTTCCTCTCTCCTAATGCACTGTCTTCCCTTTTGACGTCTTGAGTTCCCTTCATCAGTTGCTTCTCAGGAGAACCCCAAGAACATCTCTGTGTCTGGACCTTATTATGGTCGCGGCTGCTCAGACCCTCTCAAGCATCTGCCTTCCCTCTCCTCACCCTCTCCCACACTCACCTTCTCAATGTCTTCCTTCTTCACCTGCTTGAGGTGAGCCCTCAGGTCCAAGGACTCCTTGGCCCGGGTCCCCAACAGTGCCTGCATCATGGCGTCTGCAGAGATCCTCACTCTTCGCAGGGTGGGCCGCTTGAACTTGCCACGCAGGTCATAGATCTTCTGGGTCAGATCTGCGATCTGGGGGTGACCATATGGGGGAAATGGAGACCGACCCCCCCTTACCTCTGCTTCCTTCCCACACAACTCTTCTAACCTACAATTCCCCCTTATTCCCCCCTACCTTGCCTTCAGTATCTAAACTTCCGCCTCTCTTCCAGCCCTGACTTCCGGATGTTCCTGGGGGTCGGGGGGGGGGCCCATCCGTCAAAGTTTCTAACACAGCTCAGCCCAGCAATGTGCAGATCATGACTCGTTTACTACTACTCAATGCTCGAGTCACACTTCTCCACAGACCTGTTTATGCCACCACCCAGGCTCTGCCTTGCATGTGCTGTCTCTCGGCCCCGGTGCAGCCACACCACTAGTTCTATTAAACACAAGCGGCCGGAGCCCTCAGCCTGAAGGGACAGACCTGGAGATCTCAGTCTACTGTGTAGGTGCCCAGACTTCCCCAAGGCCCCCACCTCGGTGATGTTTTTGGTGACTTTTGCTTCCACATCGTATCTCTCTTCATCCACTTTGTCCACCCGAGCATGGAGCTGCCGGCATAAGTCCTGATGAAGAGATGCATGTGTGCTGAGGGAGGAGGCCTGGGCTCTACATCCCTGGGTCTGAGGGAGGAGGCCTGGGCTCTACATCCCTAAGTTTGAGAGAGAAGTGCTGAGATCTGGACTCCTGGACCTGAGGAAAGAGGGGCTGAAAGGAAGCGAGACTGGAATCCGGACCCCAGGAAACTTAAAGAAATGTGGCTAGGGACCAAGAATCCTGAGACTAGGCAGGCAACGGCTGGAGCAATACACTGGGTTTTTGATGTTGTAGCACTGTCTGTATGGCCTGGCATAAGGATTGCAGATCCCGAGCGGGACGGGAGACTGTGCTTTATGCTCCTGATACCCCAGGTTGGCCAGACCAGAGACGGGCCCCAGGCTCGGCTCGGCCCCAGGCTCGGCAAGAATCCCTGCTTTGTGAGCTGGTACCTGAAGCTCTTCAAAGCCCAGCCCATCCAGCTCCAAAGGCTGGCAACGAGTGCTCAGAACGCGCCCTTTCTCTCCACGTCGCTCCTCGGCCTCACGCTCCATCTCCTGCTTTGCAATCTGCAGCATCAGAGTCTACGGAATGGTTGAAGCAGACAACAGCGTCCCCCAAAGGCATAGGAATGAAAAATTTCCCTCCATCTTCCAGAGAGACAGAACATCCAAGTTGGTGTCTTTTACTCAAAAACTGTCTCGTTCCTGCGCGCGCGTGTGTGAGCGTGCGTGCATGCGAGTGTGTGTGTGTGTGTGTGTGTGTGTGTGTGTGTGTGTGTGTGTGTAGGAGGGGAGGGCAAAGATACACTCCCAAATGAGACCACGCCCAGAAAAGCTCCGCCCATCAAGGCCCTGCCCCTGCCAGCACATCATCACCTTCAGCTGAAGCTTCCTCGAGGCGGAGATCTTCGACTTTTTCTGCCAGGGTGACACGGAGAAAGGTCAGCCGGCGAAAGGTCCCGAAGAGGACACTGGGCGGGGCTGCAAGGCACCACCTCCCACTCGAGTACGCGTACATTTGGGCCACCCGTTCTTCAACTACTGAACGCTGAGTCCACCGGAAGCTTGGGCTGTGACTAGAGCTACACACTGCCTATCTATCCGCCGCTCCCCACCCCATCGCCTAAGCCTTGCTGTGGGCAGCGGAGTTCTGCCCACAGGCAGCTGTCACCAAGCCCAACCAGCACCTTTCCGAAATTCTGCCCCCACCCAAGTCGGGCTCCACCCACCAGCAGAGTGTGGCCACCCCTACCAAGGCCTTGGCGCCGCCCCTCCTTGGGTTCCCTGAGGATTCTGAACCCTGAAGCCCCGCCCAGCGGTGGCCCCGCCCTCTAGGACCCCGTCCCACCTTGGCGTGTGGCTCGGTGGCATAGGCTCGGTAGTTGGCAGAGGAGCGGCGTCGGACAGGGGCTGGTGCCGGCTGGGGAGGTGGAGCAGACTACAGTCACGACCCAAACCCTTCCACCTTGGCCTTCCCGGCACCCTCACCGATAGCGGCAGGCTCCCCCGCCCACTGCGTCCCAGTCCGCCGCAGCGCCCACTCTGGGTTATCTACTCCACTTCTTAGCTCAGGGCGCTCACCGCATCGCTGCTCCTGAAGGGAGAGAAAAACCGTGACGAGGCGATCACGGACGGGGGTCCCCCTGACCAAGAGGTTGGGGCTACTAGCGTCCACTCCTTAGGACCCCAGGAGTCTGATTCTCAAATCCTCGCCTCATTTCCACCCAGAAATCCAACCACCCTTACATTCTACCATCTCAGGCCAAGTGTCCAACCAAGTTGCGCCCTGGCATGGCCCCTGAAGACAGATAGCGCCTATCCCCGTTCCTTGGGGACTCCAGTCCCAGGTCCCCAAGATTCACTTACTCGTCTGCCATGCTGATCCCCCGAAGCAGAGAAAGGGATCAGGGATTCCTGGAGGGTCCTGGAGGGGTGTCCTCGGTGACCTTGGAGGTCTCTAGAGGTTGGGTCCCCTCTAGGCTGCTCAAGCCTCGCAGAGGACACTGAGATAAGGGGCGAGGACAAAGACTAAATATACTGCTGGCTCCTCCCCTGCCCAGGACAGGGGAGATAACGGTGTGAGGGGAGGAGTGTGCAAAGCCCCAGTTGGAGGACCAAGAGATCCACAGCCCTCCTCTTTCTGACTCTAGCGCCCCAACTCCCTCCTCCATCAGACTCGGGAAAATCTGGAAGCCAGCTCCCTCTTCTCTCAAAGTCCAGGGTCCAGGCTTCAGCTCCCCTTGTTCACACCCAGAAATCCAGGCCCCCTCCTTGCCTCCCTCACACCTAGGGGTCCAGGCCCTGGCCCCTCACTAAACTGCAGTCTTTCAGAGACCTACAATTTCCTGTCTCCTCCTCCAATTTTCGGTCAGTTTCATTACCCCTGGCGTGTTTAATTTGAACGTTCATGTGTAGGACTCCAGGTTGTGAAACAAAACCGAGTTCACTTGTAAACCCACAAATGGGGCTTCTACTGCCCCCCTTTCTCCTGGCACTGGACACCGACTGAGGACAGACACACAGAGGTGACCCTGCACTCTTTATTTGAACCACATGCAGGGGGGGAGATGTCCCTGTTGCTCCCAACAGTAGCATGTCAAGAAAGAAAGGCCCAAGGCAAAGGGAAGGACCTGGGACATAGGGTTGTGCCTCCAGCCTGCAATTAGCCTCGGGATAACTCAGAGAACAGTCCAGGCCACATACCCTACCCCCACCCCCCCACCGAACGCTCAGGAAAGGAATCTCAAATTCTAGTTATATCACTGGGGTTGAGAAAGAACGCAGAGTAAAACCGCATTCCAGCCAGCGGTGGGCTGAGGGTTGGTTTTATGAGCTGCTGTCAATCCTGGGGCCTGCTTTAGTGGTTAACTTGGTCTCTGGGTTTTGGAGGTGCGTTCACCATGGACATTGCCGGGGGTGGATTTATCACTTCCCGAGGGGGGCTAGGTCAGACTAGGGCAGGCCGATTGCTTCTAGAGGCAGGACCAGGGCAGCCTGGGGTGGGCTCATCGCTTCTAGAGGAAGAGCCTGGTCAGCCTGGGGTGGGCTCATTGCTTTCAGAGGAGGGGCCTGGTCAGCCTGGGGTGGGCTCATTGCTTTCAGAGGAGAGGCCTGGTCAGCCTGGTGTGGGCTCATTGCTTTCAGAGGAGGGGCCTGGTCAGCCTGGTGTGGGCTCAATACTTCTAGAGGAGGGGCCTGGTCAGCCTGGAGTGGACTCAATGCTTCTAGAGGAAGAGCCTGGTCAGCCTGGGGTGGGCTCGATGCTTCTAGAGGAAGAGCCTGGTCAGCCTGGGGTGGGCTCATCGCTTCTAGAGGAGGGGCCTGGTCAGCCTGGGGTGGGCTCATCGCTTCTAGAGGAGGGGCCTGGTCAGCCTGGGGTGGGCTCATCGCTTCTAGAGGAGGGGCCTGGTCAGCCTGGGGTGGGCTCATCGCTTCTAGAGGAGGGGCCTGGTCAGCCTGGGGTGGGCTCAGTGCTTCCAGAGGAGGGGCCTGGTCAGCCTGGGGTGGGCTCATCGCTTCTAGAGGAGGGGCCTGGTCAGCCTGGGGTGGGCTCATCGCTTCTAGAGGAGGGGCCTGGTCAGCCTGGGGTGGGCTCATCGCTTCTAGAGGAGGGGCCTGGTCAGCCTGGGGTGGGCTCAACGCTTCCAGAGGAGGAACCTGGTCAGCCTGGGGTAGGTTCATTGTTTTCAGTGGAGGGGCCTGGTCAGCCTGGGGTGGGCTCATCGCTTCTAGAGGAGGGGCTAGGACTTGGCAGGGCGCAGGTCCAGATTCCACAGCTGAGTCTCCACCACCCCGAGTTGAGTCCCCTAACTTGTAGAAGCGTGCAAAAGTCTCCGAGGGGATGGCTCCGGTATGAGGGGCGAACCCTGCGGCCCGCGCGATCTCCCCGACGCGGTCAGAGAACGCCTTCAACTCCTTGGGTCTCAGGTCCACCAAGTACCTGGTTCAGGAAACTGCATGTGAGGAGACTGGGCTCTCGGCCCAGCTGGGACCTTCCCACCCCGCTCCTCTGGCTCACCGAGCTAATTCCACAACGAGGTTCCCTCCAGGGGCCACACAAGCCCCAAGCTCGGGGCTGAGAAGATGGACCATCCTGCGGAGAGAAAAGGCTAAGAGTGGAGATACACAGGTAGGGACGAAGGCCCAGAGAGGGTGGAGATTGCAAAGCTGAAGTCTCCGGGTCCCGAGAAAGAAGAAACCGGGCCCAATCCTAGGTCTCTATGAGCACCTTGTGTCCCACTTACCCACAGGCTACGTAGAGCAGCTGGATCCGGCCCTTGTAGCAGGTCTTATGGTGGAGAGTCTGCGAAGAATCCAGAGGCAGAAAGTGCATAGTAAAGGGTTCTTGAGGAGGCGCTGCAAGAGAAGAAAAAGGTCAGTTCTGGGGCTTGGAGAGATGGCTTACCTGCTAAGAGAGCGTGCTACTCTTTAGAGACCACGAGTTTGGTGCCCAGCACCAAAACCCATGTCGGACTGCTTATAACCACCTCTAAGTCGTTTCTGAGGAGATGGCGCCCTCTTGTGGTCTCTGAGGAGCCTACGCGTGCGTGTGCATACACATATAAATAACTATGAATCTTAAGGGAGATAGTAAAATGACACACACAAGTGGTCAGACAAATAAACATTGGACGACCCTTGTTCTCTACTTTTGTTTTTTGTTTGGAGACAGGTTCTCATCTTGTAGCTGAAGATGTCTGGAATTGTTACAAACAGCAGGCATTTCCTCCTGCCCCAGCCTCCTGAATACTGGGACGGCAGTCAGGCACGGCCACGCCTGGCTTTCTTGGCTTTTTCTTTAAAATTATTTTTTTGGTGATCATGTGTTCCACAGTGTGCATGTGAAAGGTCAGGTGACAACTTTATGGAGTCAGCCCTCTCCTCCCACCTTTACTTCCGTCCCAGGGACCAGACTTGGGTTGCAAAGCTCTGAGGGCAAGCCCTTCTCCCTGCTGAGCTATCTTGTCGACCTTCCTTGTCCTTCTACAAGCCCCCTTTTTCACCCTGTCTCTGAGCTGGATTCCTGAAAATCTGGGGAGGTGGGCCCACGAGGCAGAGACTCCTTTCGAATAGAGGAACAGGCGCCGAGGGAGGAGAGAGTTAGGGAATGGAATAAAGGAGGGACAGCCAGAATCCATGTGGGGAGGGTGTCTAGGCAGGGATTCTAGACAGTTCCCAGTGAGACCTCTATAGAGAACTGAGAATTCTCCTACTGATGGCGCCAGGACTTAGGGAAGGGAGGGCAAGAGAGAAAAAGAGAATAAACGCCAACTAGAGGCCAACTGCCCAGGTATCCCAAATTAGCTCCATCCAAACTTGGGAACAAACAGCGCCTATCTGCAGCTTGCCGCTGTTGGCGATCTACCATCCGGCTCCGGCGACTTCGTCTCCTCCAGGTACCCCTGGATGGCTCTCGGGCCCCTCCAGGCGGCCACTTCTCTGAACAGCTCTGTAACATTGTGCAGCGTGATGTCGCTCGCCGTCTGCACAGGAGCAAAGGGGAGGGGCCCGGTGTTAGGCTGGGAGCCTTAGGGGGTGGGATAGATTGGCTGGGGCGGGGCTCACTCTGCACTGGTGACAGCTAGCCCCGAACTAGAATTCCTTCTCGCTTTTCCAGGGCTGGGTTTGGGACAGAGTAAGAGGACTGAATCGTAGCGCTCCCAAGGGGAGCCCCAGAGGTTGGGGACAGAGCCTGTTACTTGGAGACACCGGACCGAAGAGCGTCGGCGGGGCTCGGCGGAAGGGGCCGGGCTTGGAAGGCGGAGGGCAGGAACTTGCTCCCTGGACCGGCCACACACCTTGACTGGTTGTCCGTTACTCGTACGCAAAAGGCTCTGGTCGTCCGCCTCGATGCCAAAAGCCACAAAGGGGCCCGTGGCGATGTCCCCCCAGTACCCGCGCGCTGCCACGCGTTCCCCACGCTGGAAAAATAAAGGGGGGGTTAGATCGCAGGTGAGGTCCAAATTGGGGACCTTGGCTCATAGGTTGAAATAAAAGAAGCAGAGCAAGGCTGGGAGTAGACACGCACGTGGCTCAGGAGGCGACCCGATGCCAGGGTCCTGTTGGGCACGTGGTAAGCACTGGCGTCTCTGAGTTCAAAGGCAACACCTGTGTCCCGCCAGCGTCGGAATTCCTGGATGTGGATGACTTGGGCCTGGAATAGAGGGTGGGAAAGAAGGCCCTCATGAATCTGGTGTAGGAACCCCATATCTATACCTATACCTCCTCCCTCAGACTCAGGGGTGCAACCCCAGCCCTCTTTCCTCAGACCCAGGAGTCCAGGTCCCAGCCCTCTTTCCTCAGACCCAGGAGTCCAGGTCCCAGCCCTCTTTCCTCAGACCCAGGAGTCCAGGTCCCAGCCCTCTTTCCTCAGACGCAGGGGTCCAGACTCCAGCCTTCCTCCCTCAGACCCGGGGGCAAAGTCCCAGCCCTCTTGCGTCATTCAGGACTCAGACGCTGGCCACCTGTCCCTAGGCTTCCTCACCCCTCGATCCTGCAGCTTCATGCGCAGGTCCCAGTCGGCAACACCACGCCGGGCATCATAGCGAGAACCCAGGTAGTGGCGCAGCCTCGAGTCCCAAAGGCGACTCATGGGGAAGACCTCAGGTCCCTTCTCCCCGCCTGACCAGAAGCGGAACACGGCCTCCAGGGCATCCCGCTCGCGGAACTGCACAGCCAGGGACGCATGGAGAGAGAGAGAGAGCCAGAGATACAGGGAGGGTTCCCCTCAATTCCATTACATGAGAATGATTATGGGGATGAGAGAGAGAGACTCAGAGAGCAAAGGCTTCCCTAACCCTACGCCCCAATAGTAGGAGTCACAGAGGTGGGATTAGGACCTCCACACCCCAGCCTGCTCCAGCCCCTCAATTCCTCTGAACCACTCATTTCCACTCTTTTGCAGCCACCCAATTCCAGGCCATGCTCCCTCCAGCCCAGAGGCGGGTAGATCTGGCACCTTGAGAGGCCGGAGGCTGAGCCAGGGTAGTTGCTCCTCCAGGTGATCCGGTTCAGGCACCAGATGGGCCAGGCGGCTAGACTGGGCGCGCACAAAGGCAGCTACTGAGGGTCGCAGGAGCGCGTTCCCCCACAGCTCCAGGAAGGTCTCACATCGCTCTGGAGGGAGGTGGGACGGATGAGGCAGGAGGGAAGACAAGGCAAACATCACCAGTTCAGGAACTGCAGCCACCACCCAGCGCTGCGGATCGAAGCTGGGACTTCACCAAGGCAAGGCAAGCTGACCTATCTCCTCCTCAAGCCTCTTTTCACGTTTTGTTTTGGTTTGGTTTTGGAGACAGGGTTTCTCTGTGTAGCCCTGGCTGTCCTGGATCTCACTCTGTAGCCCTGGCTGTCCTCAAACTCGCAGAGATCCACCTGCCTCTGCCTCTCAAGTGCTGGGATCAAAGGCATGCGCCACCACTGCCCGGCCAGATGACAACTTTCAGGAGTCAGTTCTCTCAACCCACTCATGTGAGTCCCAGAAATCAAATTCAGGTCATCAAGCTTGATAGCAGGCACCTTTACTAGCTGAGACATTTCCATAGCCTCTGTTTGTTTTTTAAAATGACATTTTATGCATCCCACAGAGCCTAGAACTCTATGTAGCCAAGGACAACCTGAAATTTCTGAGCCTCCTAGCCACCTCCCCAGTTCTGTGACAACCTGTGCCACCATACCAAGGGGTTACACCCCCAAGGTTTGTTTTATTTACTAAATTATTTTTATATTTTATGTGTAAGTGCTCTGCATGTACACATGCATGCCAGAAGAGGGCATCAGATCCTATTATATATGGTTGTGAGCCATCATCATGTGTGGTTGCTGGGAATTGAACTCAGGACCTCTAGAAGAGCAGCCAGTGCTCTTAACCCTTGAGTCATCCATCTCTCCTGCCCCCTTATTTTGTGTCTTTGAGACAACGTTTCACTATGTTCCCTGGCTGGCCTGGAACTCACTATGTAAACCAGGCTGGCCTTGAACTCACAGAGACCTGCCTGCCCCTGCACCATGCTCATCTCCAAAATTTTAAGTCCCATCATTGGAAGGCCAGCATCTTTGAAGGGAGAGGGAAGAGCCCTGAGTTTGGATGCTAGAGTCTCAACAACTGACCTTGGAGCCCCATCTTCTCTGGTTCCTCGAGGGCTAGGCTGAAGATCAGCATGTGTCGAGCCACGGCTTCCAGATTATTCTCCAGCACATAGAACTGGAGGAATGGCAGACAAGACAGTTCTGCAGGTCGAGAGGCCAGAACACTAGCTTCCTGCACCGCACCGCCCCCCCCCCACCACGGTGGTGGAACACAACCAGGAGCCTTGTACAAGCTAAGGCAGCGCTCCACCCCTGAACTACAATTCCCAGCGCTCTTTTTCTATTTCCCTTCCTATTATGAGGCAGGATCTCCCCGGGTCATTCTTGAACTCGGGCCTTTAACTCTCTGTAGCCCAGGATGGCTTTGTACATGAGATGCTTCTCCTGCCTCAGCCTCCTGAGCAACTGTGATTACAGGCTTGAAATACTAGCTCCAGATTGCCAGTCCCTTTCTTCAGCCATAAGTCTAGAGTCCAGATCATCCCTCACATCACACTGGATACCTGGTCTTGGACTCTCCCTCTTTCTGAAGCCCAGGAGCCCCCAACCCCAGGCCCTTACCTCCCCACAACATGGGTCTGAGACCTTCAGCTTCCACCTCCTCAGACCCCACAGCCTACTCTCAAGTCCCTTTTCCCCTAGGACCTGGAAGTTTTAATGCCAATCCTCTCTTCTCTCAAGGGCTGGGGAATCTGGGCTCTCAGTTCTTCCGCCCCATCCACGACCTCAGAATCCCAGCTCACATTGAATCTCCTGCGAGGCCAGAGTGCTGCTCTGGACAGCGTCCGCAGCATGTGTCGCCCATCCACAGAGCCTAACAGCAGGACATCCAACTCCGGGATCTTGTGCTCTGTCTCTGCCAGTGACTCTGGGTCCACCGGAGGACCTGGCAAAAGGATAGTGGGCAGGGGCCGGCTACTTAATACCTTTCTTTCTTCTTCTTCTTCTTCTTTTTTTTTTTTTTTTTTTGCAAGACAGGGTTTCTCTGTGTAGCTTTGCGCCTTTCCTGGAACTTGCTTTGTAGACCAGGCTGGCCTCGAACTCACAGAGATTCGCCTGCCTCTGCCTCCTGAGTGCTAAGATTAAAGGCGTGCGCCAATACCTTCATTTCTTGAAGTGTTTACAGAAGCTGCAAGAATCCAGCAGGCCTGGTCCCCCAAGCCTGGGTTCCAAAGGCAGCTGTACCTCTACATTATGGTATTCGGTATCATCAAAGAAGATTCTGAGGGTGCCCTTCTCCTCAAGCCATTTAATTTAGGCGCGCGCGCGCGCACACACACACACACACACACACACACACACACACACACACACACACACACACACACACAATCAGCATCCCCTGCCATGGACACAAGTACTGTGAGGTCTGTGCACATGGGAGTTGGAAAGGACCTCTGTCTAAGACCGTGTGTGGTCCTAAGGTAGAGACTCACTTTCAGCCTGTAGATCCAGCGCTGGGGACAGACCCCACCAGGACACAGAGCCGAAGCCGGCGCCGGAGCCAGCAGGTGTGGTCATCGCCCTGCGGGGACAGGGATCCTGGAAACTCCACATTTGTCCACCCCATCCCTTTCTCGCTGCCCCTCGATTCTTACCCCTTCGCCTCCAGGTTGATCCCCTCACCTTTACCCTTCCAAATATCCCTGGATGTGGCTCTTCTCCCGCAGAGTGCTGGGCTGAGCTCCAGAAAGCCTGCACAACTGTCTCCCAGAGGCTCCGCCCTCTATGAGCAGTCAGCCAATGGGAGCAGACGGACTTGCATCATTGCTATCAACTGACCAATAAATGTGAAAAGGCTCCGCTCACTACTAACTTTTGACCAATAGAAGCGCCGGGGGCGGCCGCGAAGTGGTCCGGAACAGGACGCCGGACGCGGTTGTCATGACGACAGCCCGGCCAGAGAGGGTGGAATTTGGATCTGTCCAAATTTCTGGAAAGGGAAGGGCCTAGCTTGCTGCTTCAAATTAAATCAGAACTGAACGAAATCTTTTTCTTTTTTTTATCCTCTCTTCTTACTTTTTCTTTTCCTTTTTTGGGGGGTGGGTGGGTGTGGGTGGGGCGGGACAGAGTCCCTCTGTATTCTAGTTACTCCAAACTCGTGGCAATCCTCCTGTCTCAGTCTCCTGAGTTCTGGGTTTAAAGGCGTGAGCCACCACCCCTGGCTTTGAATGGAATCTCTATGAATCCAAATTATAGCACGGAGCCCAGACTCATGCCTTCAGATCTGTTTTATTTTTTTTTCTTTCACACCTGGGCTCTGACTGAATACAGGCCTCACCGGATGCAAAGCAGGATCCTGCTCAGTAAATTTTCAAATTATGTGATCAGGCTGCTACTCACAGTCATTACTAAATATCAAATCCTTAGCAGACGCTGTGGCGAAAACTTGTAAGGCCAGCAGCACTCTGAAGGCAGAGGCAGAAGGATCAGTGGTTCGAGGCCAGCCTGGTCTACATAGCTTATTCTAGGCCAGCAAAGGCCACATAGTAGGACTCTGTATATTAAAAACAAACAAACGAAACTCCCCGCCTCCCCCGCGCCCGCCCCGGAGCTGGAGAGATGGCTCAGTAATTGAGGGCATTTGCTGCTCTCTCAGAGGACTGGAGAATTCAGTTCTCAGTACCCACATCAGGGGGATCATAACTGTACTTCCAGCTCCAGGGGATCTTTGGGAACCCACAAACACTCTCCCCCCTCTCTCAGGCATCACCTGCACCCCTATCAGCTGTTCTACAGGCTACAGGTTCACAGGACAATGACGACTCCCATATCAGCATCAGTGTCCCTGCACCCACGTTGAGAGCTGGGCAGGGCTTAGCTCATGGCTTAGCTCGCAACTAATTTTCATTCTCTCTGTCTCTCTGTCTCTCTCTCTGTCTCTGTCTCTCTCTGTGTCTCTCTCTCTGTCTCTCTCTCTCTCTCTCTCTCACACACACACACACAAATAAATAAATAAAGCAATTTAAAATATAAATTAAAAGAAAATCTCCCTCCTGGGGAGATACCTAACATTGGTCTCTCAGACCCTAGCAATGAACAAAATTTACTAGAAGGAAGAAAGAAATTAAAGGAAATGATGCTATGGAAATAATAGATCCAGGGCTGTCGTCAGTTTGGTAGAGCTCTTGATAAGCATGCTTGATGAACTGTGCTCCATTCCCAGCACCACGTAAAACCAGGTACGATGGTAAATGACCATACTCCAATCAATGGCAGGGGTGGGCGGGGAGGGGGTGGTCACGGGACTGGAGCAGGGTTAAACGGTCAAGCTTGATTATGTAGAGAGGGGCTGTAGCGATGGCTCAGCAGCCAAGAGCCCTGACTGCTTCCCCCCGCCCCCAGGACCTGGGTTCAGATGCCAGCATCCACAGGGCAGCCAGCTCACAACCACCTGTATGGAGCTTCAGTGCCGGGAATCTGATGCCCTCTTCTGGCCTCTGACGGCGTATGTGCAGGTGCTGCATAGATACACATACAGGCAAGACACTCGCTCACGTGAAATAAAAGAAATGTATCTTTAAAAAGAAGCATGTGTTATATGCTCATCAAGTTACATAACTTATATAATTCCAGGTTCATGATGAAGAATACATTAGTATAAATTAGTATCTCATTCCTTCATGTTTGTTTAGTACTGTATGAGTGCATGTGCATGCATGTGTGGGTGCTTGTGCCCACAAAAACGCAGAGGCCACAGGGGCATGCCTGGGGTCCTCCTCTCTCACTGCCTGCCTGATTTCCTTGAGAAGTCTCTCACTAGAGTGGAAGTTCATCGTTTTTGTCAGGCTGCTCCCTGAGTCTGTGTATCTCCGCTCCCCAACGGTAGTGTTACCAATGCTTCCGACCTTGCCTGGCTTCGATATGGGTGCTCGGTACTTGAACTCGGGTCTACACAGCGAGCACTCTAATAGCACACTTCTTTTTGTGGTGGGATAATACTCCATTCTATTTCTCCCTTATCATTATGCATGTCCATTCCTTTCTGTTTGTTTGTTTGTTTTGGTTTTTTTCAAGACAGGGCTTCTCTGTGTAGCTCTGACTGTCCTGGATCTCACTCTGTAGACCAGGCTGACCTTGAATTCACAGAGATCCAGCTGCCTCTGCCTTCCAAGGGCTAGGATTAAAGGTGAGCACCATCACCACCTGGCGCATGTCATCCATTCTTACCATGTCATTCAAATGTCACCTCAGAAAAGATCTCCCTGAACTCCCTAAATTTCTCAACATTCACTGGACTTATTTTTTTTTATTATTTTTTAGGTAACTTATTTCTATTTTGAGGCAGGACCTCTCTATTATGTAGCTCTGGATGTCTTGAAACTTGCTGTGTAGACCAGGCTCCCCTCGAACTCACAGAGATCCAGCTGCCTCTGCCTCCCGAGTGCTATGACTATGTGCACCATGCCCAGCCTAGATGTATGTGTTCCCTACATGTATGTGAACTACATGTGTGTCCAGTGCCTGTGGATGTCAGAGGAAGGCATCAGACCTCCTGGAACTCCAATTATGGATGGCATGATTCAATATGTGGATGTCGGGAACCAAACTCAGGACCTCTGCAAGAGCATCAGGTGCTCTTAACCTCTGAACCATCTCTCCAGACCCTGGATTTATTTCTTAACATCAGTGACTATTTACAGTGGTTTTCTTCTGATTGGTTTGCTTTCTTGTTAAGATGGAAAAACTGGAGGCCCTGAGATCATAACCTAAATCACAACAGGTTTAGACACTAGAGAGTCGGCTCATCAGTTAAGAAGGCTTGTTGCTCTTGCAGAGAACCCAGGTTCAATTCCCAGCATCCACATGGTGGCTGTCTATTATCTCTATCTAGTCCCAGGAGATCCAGTGCTCTCCTCTGACATCAGTGGGCACCAGGCACACACATGGTGCACGAAGAAGCAGGTGAAGCATTCACACATGCAAAATAACAAAATAAATAAATCTTTAAAAATAAAAGGACACACTGTTCAAGTACCAGGACTTAAAGTACCAGACTTCTTGGCTATGTGACTCAGAGCAAACTACATAAATTTTCTTCGTTTGTCAATACTAATAAACACTGTATTTATCATGAGTTTGCCTTGAGGGCAGTATGGGCAGTAGTGGTGGGAGTAGTTAATTGTAGGTAATACTGTCTTCTCTCTTAACTTTGTGTTTTTGTGTATGAGTGCTCTGTGTGTTTGCCCGAACACCAGAAGAGGGCATCAGATACTCCTATGGATGGTTTGTGAGCCACCATGTGGGTGCTGGGAACTGAACTCATGACCTCTGGAAGAGCAGCCAGTGCTCTTAACCACTGAGCCACCTCTCCAGATGGTCTTCTTAAGAGCAATACACAGGGTCACACAGGAGAAATAACTGCTATGATTTTGTGGAATTTTTCTATTTTTCTTTTCTTTCTTTCTTTTTTCATTTTTTTTTTTTTTTTGGTTTGGTTTGGTTTGTTTTTCGAGAAAGGGTTTCTCTGTGTAACTAACCTTGGCTGTCCTGGAACTCACTTTGTAAACCAGGCTGGTCTCAAACTCAGAGATCCTCCTGCCTCTGCCTCCCGAGTGTTGGGATTAAAGGTGTGCACCACCACCGCCGGGCAATTCTGTGGAAATTTTCTAAATCTCATGGACACTATAACCCATGGAACATCTGATTTCCTTGCTTATTGGTTACCAGGAAGTTCAAGGGACAAATGTATACCTTTTTCCTAGTATCTGGGGATACTTTGTGCCCCCATTTCCTCCTGTTCGGGGGGGGGGGGGCTGTGAATTCCCAAACATCAGAGACCTTGTCCATCATTCCTAATCCTGCCTGGGGAGGGATGAAGTTGGTCAGGTAATTGTCCTCCCAGAAGTATGATGGCAAGCAACATGTGTTGAAAGACGGAGGGAAAGAGCGCCATTGGCTTTCCTCAAGTATCTGCCTTATGGACAGTAAGGTCAGGCCCTTGAGGATGGTGTGGCCATAGAGTCTCTGGAGATTTCAGTGTAGAATGGCCATGGGCTCTTGAGACTTCGGGGTGGTATGGTCATGGACTTTCTGGAGATTCCAGCTGGAAACGTATCTGCTTTGTTTCCTTGGTAAGAGTACATGATGAGGCGTAAAGCCTGCCTGGGCTTGTGTCTGTTCTTGGTCCACACTTCCACAGAGACTGTACACAGAAGACCCCAGGGGAAATGAGATGGAAGTAAGGGAGAGAGAGGGAAAGGGGAGAGAGGGGGAGACGGAAGGATGCACAACTGGGCATGAAAATCTATGTGCACCGGGGCCTGGTGTTGCGGGCCTGTGATCTCAGATACTAGGGAGAATGAGGCAGGAGAATGACAAGTTTAATGTCTACGCTACAGAGTGGGTTTAAGGAGAGGCTGGGTAACTTAGGTAAAAAGACAGTTAAGGGTGAGGAACGGTAGAGTGATTCCCTAGAGTCCCCCAGTGAGGGGCTGGGGGTGTGGCTCAGTGGTAGAGCCCCTGCCTGAAATCTCCCAGTATAGGGGCTGGGGGTGTGGCTCAGTGGTAGAGCTCCTGCCTAGAATCCCCCAGTGAGGAGCTGGGGGTGTGGCCCAGTGGTAGAGCCCTTGCCTGGAATCCCCCAGTGAGGGACTGGGGGTGTGGCCCAGTGGTAGAGCCCCTGCCTGGAAACCCCCAGTGAGGGGCTGGGGGTGTGGCTCAGTGGTAGAGCCCCTGCCTGGAATCTCCCAGTATAGGGGCTGGGGATGTGGCTCAGTGGCAGAGCCCCTGCCTGGAATCCCCCAGTGAGGGGCTGGGGGTGTGGCTCAGTGGTAGAGCCCCTGCCTAGAATCCCCCAGTGAGGGGCAGGGGTGTGGCTCAGTGGTCCAACCTTTACCTGGCTGGTGAACACATGGACTAATTCATGGGTAAGGGAATTCTCCCTGACTCCTCAGAGCAGTCACACAACAGGTATTATTACCATCCCAAGTATTTTCTTCTTGTGAGGAAACCTAGGTTCAGGGAAAGAATGGATAAGTCTGTGAATGGGTTAGTGTGGTCGATGGATGGGTTTCCCTGGGTGGGGGGTCCAAGGTGTTCAGTGTTAATTCTGGCCTGGCATGCCTTTGGGCCTGGAGGTGAGCATCATTCTTGGTCTCAGCTACTGTGTCTTGTCCCCCCCCGCCCCCCCCCCCCCCCCCCCGACACACACACACACATCAAGGAGCCCTGGGGCAGAGTCTCCAAGCTGTTGAGTATTTATTTGGCCCAGGAGCAGTACAGGGGGCAAGCTGTGTGGGAAGAGCTAAGAGACTGGGAGAAAGGAGATAACAAGCTTCACAGCTGATTGTCAAAGCAGAGGGTAGGACCCTGGGGCGGGGGGTGCCAGACTTAACCACCCCCCCACAAGGTCACTGTGGTTTCTGGGTATGGGACTCTGGTGCTAGAAGTTAGAAACATTTCCAATGTGGAGGTAGGAATGGATGCAACATTTGGGGAGTAGGGAGAGGCATTCGGGGAGGCGTGTAAGGGGCTGGGAGCGAGGGATCCGGGGTCGGGTGCTTGCCTGATGGGGATCAGGGTGCGGGCACTGGCCTGGCTCGGTCAGGGGGCCGCAGCGAGTGCCACTGGGCAATGGGCCGCCTGGGGTTGGCCAACATGTCAGCCCAGTGCCGAAGGCCGGCCCCACCGACGGCTGCGCCCACCGCCACTCTCCCGATGGCCTCATTCTTGCCCAGCTTGTCATAGTCCAATACGGTCAGCTCCACTTGGACTTTCTGGAGTGGGGGGGGGGGGGGGGGAAGGAGATAGGAGGCATGGAGGGAGGCGCAGGGGTCATCGCCAAGGACATTCTCTCCCTGCGACCAGGCTATGTAGGGACACTGCCACGGGAGTTTGGGGCAGGGAGGAGTGGCAGTTGGAAAAGACAAAACGGTGCCCAGGAGCTTTCGTTCCTTTGCGAAGGGAATTCTTCCTTCCTCTCTTCTTCTGTTTTAGGCAGGGCCTCACTATGCAGCCCTGCCCAGCCTGGAACTCACTATGTAGAGCAGGCTGGCCTTGAACTCACAGAGATCTGCCTGCCTCTGCCTATGGAGTGCTGGGATCTAAGGCATGTGCCATAACACCCTGCTGAAAACAAACTTCTACAGAGATAAGCCCACAGGACCCACTGTCCGGAGCTTGGTAGGAGCCTCCTTAGAGATCAGGGCTCAGAAGAGGGGCAAACATGCAAGGTCTTGATATGGGTGCCGTGACCCATAAACACTTTTTTTTTCTATAGGAACTGAAGGTCTGAGCTTGTTAGGGGAGGAGCTTGCTGGGGACAGGCATTCTATCCACGCATGCAAGTCTCGCTTAGGGGAGAGCATGCCCAAGGCCAGGTTTTAAGACCAGACCTCCTGGTCTCCAAAGGAGGAAAAGGAGAGGAACAATATGACCTCACACCTCAGGAGCTGGTTTCTTCAGTGATGCCCTGGCTCCTTGGCCACTACCAGCCCTGGGGGTTTCTGTGGTGGAGCTGTTCCTGTGGAAGCAGGGCTGCACTCACCTGCACTTGGTCACAGGGTACCTCAAAGCTGAAGGCCTCATTGTAATAGGGGTTCAGGGTGTTCTTCTTAATGGTGGTTTTCTTCTTCCGAACCTTCTTGCCTCCCTGAAGCAGGTGCACTTTAACATAGGGATCTGGGGTGAAGAAGGGCATCCTTTAACTCCCCACTGTTGGGCTCTTGGGGATCAGATTGTGTGGAAGCAGTGAAGAATCTCTTTTGGACCTCCATAGAATCACCCATGCAGCCCCTCAGACCCCCCTTTTCTGGATAAGATCAGTTCTGTATTATCCCACAGCAGTATGGGGTTCTGCTGTCCCCTAAGAGACCCTCCAGGTCAAGAAGCTGTCAGAGCCCTGAGGCAGAAGCACACCCCCTGTCCTGACTGGTGTTTGTTGTTGTTTCGTTATCAACTGGATACAAGTCAAAGTTATCTGAGAAGAGTGAGCCCAAAATGAGAAAATGCCTCCATGATATTGGCCTGTAGGCAAGACAATGGGCATTTTCTCTTTTCTTTTCTCTTCTCTTCTTTTCTTTGAGACAGGGTTTCTCTGTATAGCTTTGGAGCCTTTCCTGGAATTCACTCTGTAGCCCAGGCTGGCCTCGAACTCACAGAGATCCGCCTGCCTCTGCCTCCCAAGTGCTGAGATTAAAGGCGTGCGCCGCCGCCGCCGCCGCCGCCGCCGCCGCCGCCGCCGCCGCCGCCGCCGCCACCACCACCACCACCACCACCACCACCACCACCACCACCACCACCGGGCCTGGCATTTTCTTAATTAGGGGTTGATGTGGGGGGACCTAGCCCACTGTAGGTAGTGTCAACCCTGGACAAATGGTCCTGGATATGTAAGAAACAGGCTGAGAAAGCCGTGGGAAGCAAGCCAGTAAACAGACTCTTTCTGCCCCTCTGCATCAGCTCCTGCCTCCAGGTTCCTGCCCTGTTTGAGTTCCTGCCCTGACTTCTGTCAGTGATGGAATGTAACATAAGAGTTGTAAGATTAAATAACCTTTTTCCTCCCCAAGTTTGTTTTTTTTAAATCATAGTCTTTATCACAGCAGTAGAAATCCTAACATACAGACGCACGCACCTGAGAGTCCCCCAACATCCATCTTCTTCAGGTTTTTAGCTTCCAGGACAATGACGGTGAGCTTTCCGGCCGTGGGGACATAGCGGAGAGAGAAGCAGATGTCCCCCAGTTTCTCCTGCTAAAAGGAGGAATGGAACCTATCACCCAAATCGGGCCGCTACCCCTCGCCAGCTTGCTTTGGAATGGAATGGTCAAGCACCAGGGCTGTCAATCCTGTTCCTGAACCAGCTTGCCCGCCCTCTGGCGCCTGTGCGCCTGTGAGGAAAAGGGGCTTGCAGACTTGAAGCACTGCAAAGCCTGCGATCTGACTGTTCCAGAGCAGCGATGGGAGGGGCCACACATGCTCACCTCCTCTTTGGGAGCCGCCTGCAGCTCTCTCCAGGCCTGCACCGGCCGCCCCAGGTTCACGGAACTCATGGGCACCCGCACCTCCCCGATGGCATCGTTGCGGGAGAAGCGGTCGAAGTCATACACCGCCATGACCAGCACTCTGCCCCCCAGTTCCACGTATGGGACCTGGTGGAAGGGAACACAAAGGGGAGGGTAGGAAGTCAGAGAGAAAGAGGGTGTGAGGAGTAGAATATTCAGTTGGAAGTAGAGTAGGGCTGCAGCTCCCAAATAACGACACGGAGACGTCTTATTAGTTACAAAAGTTCAGCCTTTAGCTTAGGCTTGTATCAACTAGCTCTTATAACTTAAATTAACCCATTTATATTCATCTATGTTCTGTCATGTGGCATTACCTCTCTTCCATCTTGTACCTCCTGTTTCCTCTGTGTCTGTCTGGCAAGTCTGCCTTTCTTTTTTTTAACCAGAGTCCTCTCTGTCCCCAGAAGTCCCACCTAACCTCTACCTGCCTAGCTATTAGCCATTCAGCTCTTTGTTAAACCAACCACAGTGACACATCTTCACACAGAGTACAAATATATCATAACATGGGGCAATGAGGTTCCAGGGACCTCAATAAAGTACGAGGAGCCACGGAAGAAAACTCGGGTGTTAACAGAACACAAACAGGAGTGTCCAAGGACCAAGGCAACAGACGGCACAGGCATCGACAGTGTTCCCAGGGATAATTCTGGGTCCCAGGGAACAGCTTCCCACTGCCTATACACACAAGCTGGCAGCTGCAACTCAGCTGTGTCTCCTTCCAGGGCAAGCTGAAGGGGTCAGTCCTTGGCATTCCAGGACAAGAGGCAGGCTAAGAACCACGGGGTGATGAAGCAGGAACTCACCTTGAAGGCAAAGGTCTCCCCAAAGTGTGGATTCAGGGTCTGCCGATGCACCTTGGTCTCATGTCGTCTCCGCTTGTCTGGCAGCAGATAGACACTTACATAAGGGTCCGAGGAACCTCCTAGGTCCAACGCTGCCAGTCCTTCAGCTTGCAAGATGCCCACCAGGAGCTGCAGGTGCCCAGACACAGAGGAGGGACTCATGTTTCAGCTTCCCTCCCATGGCCTCCATGACGAAGGGAGACCCTCCCCTTCCCAAGCATTCTCCCTCCTTCACACCCACCTGACCAGTCTGGAAGTCATAATCCAGTGAATACTGCAACCGTCCTAGCTGGTGCTTGTCTGAAACCTGCTGTCCTGGCATGGAAGGTGAGGGGTCCAGCTCCTCTATTTCAGGCTGAACCTAGAAAGTCAGGGGCAAGAAGGTGGAATCTTCCCCTGAAACTAGTACCCTCCAGTCCCAGAAACCTCAAGAGGCTCACAGATTCCTCCAGCAAGCCATCAATGATTGTTTGTCTAAACAATGTTTGATTGATAATGTCTGGAACTCTGGTAACATAAAGACAACATATCTGTTAGCATTTGATTAGTGATGTCTGCTATGGGAATAGACATCATGAGACACAGTCTGGGACTGTTTCATTCCTCCATGTCCTAATGAATGTATTGGGATAACAGTACAAATTGCCACCATTGATCTTGTCACAGAAAAATGTGGAGGATAAATGGTATATTTACTATATATTTAGTATTTTAGAATATAAGTTGTTGTTGTTGTTTTAACCTAGGCCATAGATTCTCAAAGTCTAGTCTCTATCAGAGATGAGTGGCAAAATACTGAAGTCACCTTATTAGGGATTCTGATTCACTAGGTCTGTGTGACATTACATCCAAAATTTACATTGCAGCAAAGTTGGAGGTGATTCTGACATAGATGACCTTTGAAATCACTGACTTAAGTAATAGGAATGGAGGCTGAGTTCCAGGACCCCAAAAGGAATCCTTATAGGTAATAATTACAATAACAGCTACTTGTTGAGAAAGGAGGAGAGATATGAGTTAACTACCATGAACTTAAGGCTCAGAGAACACAGGTGTCATTCCCAAAGTCACACAGATGAAAAATGGTCCCCAGGGTTGGAAACCCAAGACTGCCTGGCCTGCATCCCACTCGGCACTCAGAGGCTTAATATTCAGATTCTACCGTAGCCTTTTAATTTTTTTTTTAAAGATTTATTTATTTATTAGGTATACAGCATGTGTGCCTGCAGGCCAGAAGAGGGCACCAGATCTCATTACAGATGGTTGTGAGCCACCATGTGGTTGCTGGGAATTGAACTCAGGACCTCTGGAAGAGCAGTCAGTACTCTTAACCTCTGAGCCATCTCTCCAGCCCTGCCTTTTAATTTTTTAACACTTAATTTTTTTATATCTTAAATTATGTGTAGGTGTGTGTCTTCATGTGGATATGTGCATGTGAGTGCAGGGTGCCCATGGGGGCCAGAGGCATTGGATACCCTGGAGTTGGAGTTACAGGTGGTTGTGAGCCATCCTACATGGTTGCTGGGGACAGAGCTTGGTCCTCTGGAAGAGGAACAAGTGCTCTTAACCACTGAGACATTGATCCATACCCCCAGTCTTTTATTTTTGAAGGATCCATCTAAGTCCTCCAGACTCTGTGTGTGTGTGTGTGTGTGTGTGTGTGTGTGCGTGTGTGCGTGTGTGCGTGTGTGTGTGTGTGTCCATTCATGTACATAATGGCAGAAATTCTCTCTCTCTCTCTCTCTCATTCTCTCTCTCTCTCTTTTTCTCTCAAACATGCTGTCATATAGCCCAAGTTGGCCTCCAACTTGCTATGTAAACATGGATAACCTTTAATTTTCTGAATTCTCCTGCCTCCACTTCCCAAGATCTGGGGTTACAGGTGTGCACTACCATGCCTGGTTTATGTGGTGCTGCAGACTGAACCCCGGGCTTCATGTGTGCCAGGGGAGCACTCTACCAACTGAGCTATAGTCCCAGGCCCCTGTCTTCTTCTTGGGCAAACACTTCAATGGGGATCATTTGCCCTTATTCTATGGAGTATGCTCAACCTTCCAGTCACCTCGCTCCAGAACGCGGTTTATTCACACCCTACCCCCAGCGCAGTGAATAACTCTCTGTTGATTCACCTCAAAATCCAGTAACCAGTCCTCAGTACCTGCTCTTTCTCTGACTAGAATGTTCTGGTCTTGGCTCTCAGCTAACTCTGTTGCTTTGGTCTTGTCAGAGAAGTCACCTCCACCAGGAGACGTCCTGACCCTCTGGGCTTTCGGTACCACAATGTCTGTCTGTTGTGCCCTGCATATGACATCCTGAGTAAGTGACTTTTCCACAGTATCTCGGGTAGTGTGGCTGTAGATAGGAGTGTGCATGCATGCGCGCGTGCGTGCGTGCGTGCGTGCGTGCGTGCGTGTGTGTGTGTGTGTGTGATATGTATGCCTGTGTATGTTGGTATACACATCCATTCCTGTGCATATGTGTGAAAGTCAGAGGTCAACTCTGGGTGTCTTCCTCTATTACTCTCCACCTTATTTTTTGAGATGGGGTCTCTCATTGAACCTAGAGTTTACCATTTCTGCTAGACTGGCTGGCCATGGAGTTCCAGGAATATGCCTGTCTCTACCCCCTCCCCACCCCCACTGCTGGAGCTATACCCCCTCCCCACCCCCACTGCTGGAGCTATACCCTCTCCCCACCCCAACTGCTGGAGCTATAGGCACACATGGCCATGCCCAACTTTTGAATGGGTACGGGATCAGAATAAAGGTCCTCAGACTTGCTTACCAACCTCTCAGCCTACTGGTTTTTTGTTTCATTCTGTTTTATAGATTTATTTACTTTATGTGTGTGAGTGTTTTGCCTACATGTATGTATATGCACCACGTGTGTGCCTGGAGCCCACGGAAGTCAGAAGAGGGTGTTGGGTCTCCTAGAGGGTGTTGGGTCTCCTAGAACTGTAGTTACAGATGGTTGTGAGCCATGATGTCGGTTCTGGGAACCTAACCCATGTCCTCTGCAAGAGTAGCAAGTGCTCTTAGTCATTGAGCCAGCTTCCAAGCTCTGCTTTATTTTGTTTTGTGAGGCAAGGTCTCACTTTGTAGCCCAGGCTGGCATTGCAGTCACTATATAGCTCTGACTGATTTTCACAGCAACCCTACTGTCTCAGCCTCCGAAAGTGCTGGGATTACACATGTGCACCCTCACACCCGGTTTAGACAGCAGAGCTCTTGTGGACAGTTACTAGCTCTGGTCCCCAGAATCCAGTGGACAAAGTGGGACCAAAGACAGAGGATTCCTGGGGACGTTGGTGGGAGCAGGGGTGTGAAAAGGAAAGGGTCGAGAGGCTGGCCTCGTCACACCTTATCTATGTAACTCCGGCCCAGCTCCTTCACTTCCTGAAGATGGACTTGGGCTTGGGCCTGACTCTTCTTGCCCATTCGTCTCCGACAGCGCTTCCGGTAGAGACAGAAACAGCTGCTGAAGACCAGGAAGCCTGAGCCCAGCACGATGGTGGCCAGGACCCAGGCAGGCACTGCAGAAGGAGGGACACAGTACGCATCAAAGCTCGGGCAAGTTGGCTGGCTAGCTCAGTCTTGATTCCGTATGGCAGCCTGAATCTTAGCCTGGTTTTCCCTCCAGCCGATTCCGTTCCTTTTTAATCCCGTGTTTCCCTTCCAACCAATCTCACCTGCAAAGCTCAGCTGATGCTCTAACCCACACTGACATGATTTGTTGTCTTACAATCCTGACGTCTCTATACCCATTTTAATTTCTGCTTAACTCCTATTACTTTTAGAAGCAGCTCTGCTCGCTCCTGGGCCTCAGTTTCCATTCGCCCATTTATGATCCCATTCCATGCCCCACCCTTGATCCGCTTCTGGTGTTCCTCGCAGATCTGTCTCTCCTTTTCAGTATTTCAGATTCTAGTCTGGGATACTGAGCCACGATCCCTGCCGGATTTTCCAGCCTACCAACCCGAGTCTTTGCATCTGAGTCCCGCCCCTAGGGATCCAGCGGGGCTTTCCTCTAGGGCTGCTGGCCCAGGGTTTTCTCACCTGCGCCCTGCCTGATGCGGCTCGAGTCTGGAGGTGCCTCAGGCGCTGGAGACCCCGGGGTCGGGGGTTCCGGGAACATGGCGTCGGGCTCCTGCGGTGCTTCCTGCAGAGGTACCCAAGCACCCTATCCCCCCACTCCTACCCCAAACATCCATTGAGTTTTCCGCGCATCAGAGACTTTCGGTGCACACTGGGAGTTAATCTCAGCCTTTCCAGGCCGAGGGCGGGCTTTGGGGGGACCCAATTCCATCTCAAAAGGACGATCCCTCTCTGCAGGCGGATCCCCCAACCACCCTCTTCTTCTGCCCCTTCCTTGCCCTTCCCAAGGGCTTGAACCGGAAGTGGGCGAAGGCAGGCGTAGGAACCATCCGACCACTGTTGCCCAGAGAGACCGCCGGGCTCCAGGCAGGGTGATAGCAAGGCTGGTTGCTGGGCAACGAGCCTGTTGCCAAGACAACGGGAGGGACTGACGCACAGAAACCAAGGCCGGGCGGTGCCGGTGCACGGGACCCAGGACCGGGATCGCGCGGCCCAGAGAGGGTGGTTGAGGGTGGCCTGTGGTCTGTGCATCCACAGCGGCCCCTCCCTCCGCCTCGGACCCCTTGCACCACCCCTCTCGCTGGTGAAGTGGGGAACCTTGCCCCGGCACCTGTGTTGGGCCCCCACATCCTCTCGCTCACGAGTCTCTCGCGCGTGCACCCCGACTCTGTCTTCACACCTGTTCTCGTGACCTAGTCGGCCTCCACTTCTCTCCAAACCCCAGATGGACATCTTTCCTATTCTGTCCCCCCCCCCCCACACACACACACACACACACACACATCCTTCTCTGGTCCGCGTCTCTGCTGCCCTCTGTTGTCCGGCCTCAGTCACTCTTGGTCTCTCTGCTTTCTGCCTACCACCCTGCTCTCTTTGTCTCCACACCTGTCTCTCCTCTCCACACAGCCATCTCCTCGGTGAGGGCTTCAACCTGCTGCTCAGAGTGGATCCTTGCCAGCGTCCCTCCGCCCAGTACTCACCCCTACCCCTCCCACACACCTCGGTCCCCCTACCAATGGGACTGAGGATGCGGCTTGGACAGAGGGTCCCCACAGCTCCTACCTGCTAGGTGGCTGGACAGGACCCTCCCGGAGGCGCCGAGACGCCGGCTGCCGGGACCCCCGCCCCCAGCACGTGGGCGGGTGGCGCTGTCCCGTGTGCTGATCTAGCTCGGCGGGGTGGGGGCGCGGCTGAGTCCAGCCAGGCTGGTGCCTGCGCCCCTGTGTGTGAACGCGCGCGCGCGTGTGTATGGAAGTGTGTGCATAAGTGTGCGTGCGTGTGTGTTCTGCCCCGGAGAAAGGAGAACGCCCTGCTCCGCCCCTCGGCCCGCCACACCCGAGAACCACCATGGCGCCCACGTACGTTGATCTTAGCACCCTAGAAGGTTCTGACGTCCGGCTAAGTCATCGGACATCTACACTGAGCACCAGCCTCCGCAAGACACACACACACACACACACAAAACAGACTTTTTGAGATGCGAATAACTGGATTCCAGAACACTCGGTTTTAGGATCCATGAGAAACCCCTCTGGAGACCCAAGTACTCAGCTAACCCAGATTCTTGAGGCAAGGAAGAGGGAGCTCCAGCATTTCTGCTCTCAGCTATCACCTCGGCTTAACCAGTCCCCGGAGGCAAGCCCTTGCATGCCTGGCTGCCGCCAGCACAGAGGTCTGGTACCTCAGCCCTCTTTGGGAGAGTCTCCCATCCGAACTTGTGTGTGTGTGTGTTGTGTTTGCGGCACATACAGCTTCACAGAGGCGAAGCCATGTACCGATCACGTGTGTGCGCATGTGTGTGAAGGTCGGAAGACAACTTTGCATGTTTTCCCTCTGGTGCCATCCACCTTCTAAAAACTTAAATTACATTTACTTATTTATGAGGAGGAGGAGTGGGCATTCGGAGGTCAAAGGACAGTTTGAAGGCTTTGGCTCTCTCCCACTACCATGTAGGTTCCTGGGGATTGAACTCAGGTCACCAGACTTTATAGGAAGGGTCTTTTCCAACTGAACCACATCAGGATCCCTGTCCATCTTGTCTGGAGAGACTGTCTCACTGGCCTGGACACACCGACTAGGCTAGGCTGGCTGGCCACCAAGCCCCAGGGATCGGTCCATCTCTACCTCCTCACTTTTTCCACATGGGTTCTGGGGCTCACACTCAGGACCCCATGTGTATAAAGCAAGCATTTTTCCTACTGAGCTATCCTTCCAGCCCCAATCCTGTATTTTTTTTTTTGAGGGGTGGTGGGATATAATGGGCTCTTCAAGTTCCCTCCATACCTGTTTGCTCAGGCTGCAAGATCTTGGAACTCCCTTTTCTAGCCCAATATTATCTCCAGAGACAAAAACCCACCTTCGGGGAGAATAGTTTAATAAATTATATGGACGGAAAGAATGTGCAGGCGTGGGTTGCAGGGAGACCACAAGCACAGGGACTCCCTTCAGCCTCCGATTCAAGGAGGCTGATGTGGTTTCTGAAATAGTGGGGGTAGGGAGGGCAGGTACCTGCCTGCCCTTGTTCCTCAGGTAGCAGAATTCCAGACCCTGATTCCTTCTTCCGAATCCAGGTTCCAGCCTGTTTCTTTGAGACCCTGTATACCCAGGCCACAGCCACCTCCACTCAAAGAACAGGCAATCCCCCTTGTCTTCCCTGTCCTCAGGCTCCCGGCTCCCACAAGGCTCATAGTTGAAGTGCATCAGTGTCATCCTGTCCTTGGATCACAGGAGATGGCTTTCCAGTGGGCTGGGGAGGCTGAGACTCCAACCCTCAGTTCTGTCGGAGGTCCGGGTATCTGGGCCTCCAGCAGGGGTCCATATCCAGCCTGACTATTTCTGGGTGTAGGCTCAGCACCCAGTAGCCGAGGCCTCAGACTCATGGGCTCTGATGGCTGCTGCATTCTCGTAGATGACGCTGGCCACATTCTCATATGTTGCCTCCTTCAGGATAAGGGCCGGGGCTGACTTCTGGAGGTATCTCAAGATGCACTGGTGAAGAAATACATACTGGGCCTGGGGAGGATGCACAGAGATGAGGAATGCTTCCCAAAGGGTCCCTCATTCCCTCCCCCATGCCCCCGTCCCCTCAGAGCCCCTCACCTCTGTCTGCACCATCAATGGCCGGCTCTCTCTCATCTTCTTCACGAAGCTGAAGGGACCCACCAGCCCCTCACACTCCAGCTGTCGGAGCAGGACATCCAGTGCGATGAGAGTGCCTGTCCGGCCCACGCCAGCACTAAGCAAGGGACAGGACAGGGGTTAGGCCTTCAGAGGGGAGGGAAGTCTGGAGTCCTAGCAGCTGAGACTGTATGGTTCAAATCTTAGATCGTCTTTTTTTTTTTTCTTTTTTGTTGTTTCTTTGTTTATCATGTATACAGTGTTCTGCCTGCATGTACACCTGCAGGCCAGAAGAGGGCACCAGATCTCATTACAGATGGTTGTGAGGCACCATGTGGTTGCTGGGAATTGAACTCAGGACCTCTGGAAGAGCAGCCAGTGCTCTTAACCTCTGAGCCATCTCTCCAGTCTTTAGATGGTCTTTTAATAAAAAACCCAGAGACAGATATCAGGGTGAAAGCTGAAAGATCATAGAAGCAGAACAGCCAGCCACTAGTTCTCACCTCTACAAAATCCTGAAGAGAGAGTTCCTGTCTCCTCATGCCTTATATACCTTTCTCTGTCCTGCCATATTACTTCCTGGGATTAAAGGCGTGTGTGCTTCCCAAGCAAAGAGAAGAGATCTCAAGTGCTGGGATTAAAGATGTGTGCCACCACTGCCTGACTCTGTTTCTCTCCTATACTGGATCAATCTCATATAGCCCAGTGTGGCCTTGAACTCGCAGAGATCCAGATGGATCTCTGCCTCTTGAGTGCTAGGATTAAAGGTGTGTGCCACCACTGCCTGATTTCTATGTCTAATCTAGTGGCTGGCTCTGTCCTCTGATCCTCAGGCAAGTTTACACAATATATCCCTACAGGTTTTGGAGCACCCAGAAAGTGTGACACTCATCAAGTCACAGTTTAAGTGGGGACTGTGAGGCCATGAGGACAGTGACTGGCGTTTTCTCCATCCGTTGGCCATAGGGTGTATCAGCACACCCATTTTACAGGTGGTAACATGAAAGCTGAGGGAGGGGAAAGTCAGTGTCCCAGTCCGTGCAGCTAATAACAGGTCTGGCACTGAAATTCACAGGAAGAACCCCTAAACTAATTGGCTTTGGGGTTTGTTGTCGCTGTTGGGTTGGTTTGGTTTTGATTTGGGTTTTTCAAAACAGAGCTTCTCTGTGTAGCCCTGGCTATCTCCTGGAGTTCACTCTGTAGATCAGGCTGGCCCAGAACTTAAGAGATCCACCTGCCTCTGCCTCCCGTGTGCTGGGATTACAGGTGTATTCCACCATGATGGCCCCTAATTGCTCTCTACAGATTTTATTTTACTTTTAATTATGTGTACGTGTGCATGTCTGTGATGGATTCTGAGTCCCTGGGGAGACTTGCAGGGTGTTGCTCACCTGCAATGCACAATGGGAGGTCCTCCGTCCATGGTCTGGTCCACCCACTGCCGCAGCACCTTTTGGAAAGCCAGCAAGGGCTCTGGGGAGTAAGGGACTCCGTGATCTGGCCAGGTCAGGTAGTGGAATTGGCGCACAAAGAGTGACTGCTTTTCTCCCACCTGAAAGGAGATGAAGGCTGAGGAGGGCGGGGTGTAGAGACTCCAGAAGTTTCTATGCCTAATGGGGGATTCTCTGGGAGACACACTGCCAGGAGCCTCCTTGAGGAGTTCTTGTTGGGGTTGGAGGGACTCACGTGGAAGAGCTGAAGATCCCTCACTGTCCAGTTCTCCTTCACGTCTTCATTAACCACCGTCACCTGCAACTGCCCGTGAGTGCAGGGCTGAGCATCCAGAGGCCAGTAATGCTCACACTTCACCTGTGCAGGGAGACCGGGACAGTGAGAAAACAGAGCAGGGTGTGTGTGTGTGTGTGTGTGTGTGTGTGTGTGTGTGTGTGTGTGTGTGTAGGTACACTGTGGAAGTGAATATGCCTGCGTGTGCATATGGACGTGGATGCCCGAGGCCGTTGTCTCGGGTCTTCCTCAACCACTCTACATTGTACTCGCTGAGGCAGGGGCTCTCACTGAACATGGAGCTTGCCCACTATGACTAGTCTGGCCGGCCAGCTTGGTCCAGAGGCTCCCTTTCTCTGCCTTTCGAGGGCTAGAATTACAAGCGAGTCACCGTGCTCACCTGGCATGTATGTAGGTTCTGAGGATCCAAGCTCTGGCCCCTTGCTTATGTGTTAAATCCTTTATCCGTTCAGCTATCTCCCCAACCCTGAGCACAAGACACCTTTTACATATTGCTTTTTTTCCCCCCCTGAGAGGACCATCTTGAGCTTGACTTGAAGTTAAAGATGACCTTGACTTCTGGTCCTCCTGCCTCCATCTTCCAGAATGCTGGGATTATAGGTTTGTGCCACCTCATGGGTTTATACAGTGCTGGGAATTGAACTTAGGGCCTCATGCATATTAAGCAAGTACCAGCCTCTTCATATGGTTCTTCTAATCAAGGTGAAGATATGTTTGTTGCCCTGGTACCAGATCTAATAGATTCACACCAGCCAAGAGGACTCCTTAACCCCAAGGTCTGTGGAACCTTGATGTAGTTTGAATGTGCCTCCCCTAAAAACTTGAGAACTGATAGCCTCATTCCCAAATTCATAGGTGAACAGTATCTAGAGATGGGGTCTATGCAAAGACACTAGGATGACATGAAGTCATCTAAGGGTAGGGCCCTCAAGATGACATTAACGGCTGTGTACGATGAGGAGGAGAACTGAGCTGCCGCTCTGGCTGGCTGTGCCTCACCACGTGGTACTCTCCAACTTGTCATGGTGCAGGAAGAAGACCCTGCCCAGATGCCAGCATCATGCTCTTGAACTTCCCACCCTCAAGAAGCATAAGACACATGAGCCTTTGTCCTCTATAAAATATCCAGTCTGTGGCATTCACCCACAGCAGCAGAACATGGACCAGTACACCACACACACACGCACATGCACACATGCACACACGCACACACACACACACACACACACGCACATGCACACACGCACACACGGATCTGTGAACATTATGAAGGTGGACGGGATGGGTCCATGTTGAAGATGGCTGGAGTTATACTGGAGAAAGGCAGAGGTGTGCAGAAGGGACTGCACCAAGCCAGTGTCCAGATGGAGCAGGCTCAAGGGTTGGTGCTCAGGGGTTAGCACCAGGACAGAAATCTCTTCTCACCCGTCCAGACTCCATGCAGTTGGTCAGCATGACCAGGGTGTGGCTCTGCTGTTCCCACACCAGACGCCAGAAATCACCCACGGTGTGAGGCAGGGGACCCTGGGTTGCAATAAATTCCTTGGGGCTCCAGAGACCCTAGTTGAGGAAAGCGGGCATGTCACGGGGCGGTCATCAGATGACCACCACCCCCCTTTAGCTCTTTAGCTCTCCAGGGTCACGGAGTGCCCCCCCCCCACACTGCCACCGCCTTACCGGCCACCTTACCGGTATGAAGCTGGCATTGATGTAGTCGGAGCCCGGTTCCTCAAGGAGGGGCTTCAGGGGCACCCGAGACCAGTCATCTAGGAGAACACAGCAGTATCAGCAATGAGAAGGGGGATGTGAGAGGGGGTGGGGAGGCATCTCAGCCAGTGAAGGGCTGGCTGCACGGATGTGACCCCAGTTCCAGACCCAGCACCTATGTCAAAAAGCCAGGCGTGGGAGCGCGAGCTTGTCATCCAAGCACTGGGGAGGCCCAGACAGGAGGACACCTTAGGCTCGCTGTTTCCAAAAGCAAGGCAGGCCTGGATATGTGGCCCAGCTGCTGGGCAGAGTGCTCGCTTTCCTAGCATGCAAGAAGCTCTGGGTTGGATCCCCAGTGCCGTGTAAAGCCAGGTGCCTGTAATCCAAGCACTTGGGAGGCAGAGGTGGGAGGTTCAAGACCATCTTTGGCTACACAGTGAGTTTGAGGTCAGCCTGAACTCCTGGGACCCTGTCTCAAAAAAAAAAAAAAAAAAAAAAAAGAATTAGGCCCAGGAAGATAGGTCAGCTGGGAAAAAGGCACTAGCCACCAAACCTGATGAACTGAGTTTGCCCCCAGGACCCACAGGGTGGAAGGAGAGAACCAACTCCTGCAGGCTGATCTCTGACCTCCACAACTGGCGGTGGCATGCACGTTACACCTCCACCACCATAAGCAAATAAAAACGTAAAACACCAACCACACAAGCAAATCACCCATGGTGCTGGAGAGATGGTTCCATGGATAAGAGCATTTGCTGCTCTTGCAGAGGACCTGAGTTCAGTTTCCAACGCCCATGTTGAGGGGTGCACACCCACCTGTAGATCCAGAAGACCCAGACCGTCCAGTCTCCATGGGCACTCATATACAAACCACACACACACACACACACACACACACACACACACACACACACACACACACACACAAATTTTTTTTTTTTTTTTTGGTTTTTTGAGACAGGATTTCTCTGTGTAGTTTTGGTGCCTGTCCTGGAACTCCCTCTGTAGACCAGGCTGGCCTCGAACTCACAGAGATCCACCTGGCTCTGCCTGCGGAGTGCTGGGATTAAAGACGTGTGCCACCACCGCCCAGCTAAAAAATTTTTAAAATAAAAATTTTAAAGTGGCTAGTGACTGAAGAAGACTTCCGGTCTCTATGTAGAGATCCATGCAAACTGCATGCACATGCACAAACACACGCACACATACCAGAGAGAGAGAGAGAGAGAGAAAGAGAGAGAAAGAGAGAGAGAGAGAGAGAGAGAGAGAGAGAGAGAGAGAGAGAGAACAGGAATGGGTTCTGGCAGACTCCATGGGGAGGCAGACGAGGGTGACGAGCACCAGAGACTCACAGGGCAGCACATTCCTGTAGCGGTTCTTGGATGTGTTCTCTGGAGCGGATGCTGTCATCTGAGACGCGCCTTGGCCCTCCAGAGCCAATTGCTAGAGGCGGAGAGGACAGAAGAGGTTCAAGGTGTTGGATTTTCTTTGTCTTCCTCCAGCGGCCACACGACCCCACTCGCCCCTCTTCTGTTTGTCCATTGAATCTTGGGACTCTGCGGCACTCACAAACACTGGAGGTGTATGACCATCCACCTTGGGGGCACTTGTGAGGAGTTAGAGGAAGCCGGGGCTTCCTCAGACAGAGGCCCTGGGTAATGCGTCAGGGAGTCCTGTGCTTAACCAAGTATCCATCATTGTTTTAGGGTTTCAGAGAGTTGGAAGGAAACACGCTTGACAGTTTCTGCATGATTAAAAGAGGTAGGCTGGGGAAGTGGCTCGGTTGGCAGAGTGCTTGCCTAGCATGCACAAGGCCCTGGGTTCGATCCCCAGCACTGCATAAACCAGGTTCTGCGGAGCACACCTGTGATTCCAGCACTTAAGAGGTCAGGGAGGAGGATCAAAAGTTCAAGGTCATCTCTGGCTCTCTAGACAGCATGTTCCAGGCCACCCTGGAATACGAGACCCTGTCTCAAAAAGGTGATCGTGTTTATGGAAGATCTACAGGCAGTTGGTTGCTGGAAAAGGAAGAGACATCTCCATCTGTAAACAACCCTAATTAAATTCATTGGTGTGCAGGCATGTACACACACACACACACACACACACACACACACACACACACACACACACCCCGTGGTTGGGGAGTAGAAAGGGAGGGACTTTGGAAAAGGAAAGATATCAACATGAGTGAGACAGGACAAAAGAGGAAGATACAGAGATGAATATAATCTAAATAGATTATATGGGCCAGCAAGATGACTCATTAGGTAAAGGTGCTTGCAATCAACCCTGAGGACCGACTTTGATCCCTAAGAAAGTCCCAAATGGTATAAGAAGAAGAAAAAAGGAAACTGGAGAGATGGCTCAATGGTTAAGAGAACTGGCTGATCTTCCGAAGGACCCTGGTTCAATTCCCAGCACTCACAATCACCTGTAACTTAGTTGCAGAGGATCCAACGCCCTCTTCTGGCCTCTGTAGGCATTGCCTATACACGGTACCCATGCATACATGTAGGCAAAACACCCATGCACATAAAATAAAAACAAATAAATCAAAAAAAGTTAAGGGCTGGAGAGATGGCTCAGTGTTTAAGCTCAACCCAGAAGGGCGTGGGAAGCCAGGGTATGTGGGCACCAGCTCGAACGCCTCATTTCTCACCCACCTGATACTCCTTGGCAAATCCATAGTTGCTATCCTTCTCATTCTCCCTGACGTAGTCGGCAAAGTCTTTGGCTAGGATATCCCCGGGGAAACTGTGTTGGGAAGAAGGGTAAAAAAATGAAGACTCTAAGCACCTTGAGGCTGTCAAGATGTCTCAGCAGGTAGAGGGTCCTAAGACAAAGCCGGGTTGTTTGAGTTCCATCCTTGGTAGCCACGTGTTGGAAAGAGAACTGATGCCCTTGGGTTGTCTTCTTACATCCATGCATCGCATATACTCCAGGAAATAAAAAAGTAAATGAAGCCTCGTGCATTTGGGAGACAGAGGCAGGCAGATCTCTGTGAGTTCGAGGCTAGCCTGGTCTACATAGTGAGTTACAATGATCTTGACCCAGCAATACCACTGCTGAGTAAATCCACCAGAGAAAGGAGAATCCCAAAGGTCATTGGCTCACCACCGTTCACAGCAGTGTGGCTCACAGTGGTACAAAGGTGCAAGCCATATTAGCGCCCATCAGTGAGCTCACGGATAAACCTTGTGGTCTATCCACACAGCGGAGTGTTATTCAGCCTTTAGCAGGGAGAAGGATGGGGCTGGCGAAAGGGCTCAGTGGTTACAAGCCCTGGCTGCTCTTTCGGAGGACCTGGCATCGATTCCCAGCAACCACATAATGACTCACAACCATCTGCGACTCCAGTTCTGGGGGATCCACTGCCCTCTTCTGTCCTCTGCAGGTACTGCATACACATAGCGCACATATGTACATGCAGGCAAAGCACTCTTACACATAAAAAAAAAAATAAAATGAAATAAAATCTTAAAACAGAAAAACCCTCTCCAAACTCCCCTCAAGGATGTACACTGACATGCTTGCTTTCTCCTGCAAGACTCCACCTGACGGAGCCCCACCTGCCACCTCTCTGGCATTACTCCCTAACACCGTTCCCTGTGTTCACACCAGCCAATCTCAGAGATACACAGTGTTCCCTAAGCACCCAAACACTACTACCTCAGCGTCCTTGCACTTGCCTGTCCCTGTAGCAGGAGAGCCCTGGCCCCGTGTACAGAGACTGGTCTCCGTCCTAGCCAGAGTAACTCCACCTTGCAGCCATTTATCTGTTCTTTATATGAGGCGTCCATAAAGCGAAATTTATCCTTTCCGTAGTCTGACGGAGTTTTCTGAGCCTGCAGGAATCCCTCGCGGGAGCCTGGATGCCCAGGCTCTCCGGGTCTGGTTCTGTGGTACCTTTCTTTACAGCAGCCTGCCGTCGCTTCCGCTGTTCGGACGTACGGTGGCGCTCGAGGCCTGGGTTTGCATCCTTCCCGCTTCTAGACCCGCAGGCGCTTGGCGGTATGCGCAGGTGTGATGGTGACTCTGGGGGACGCAGCCTTCTAAAGGCTTCCAATGCTCTGTAAGTAATCCCTGACAAACTCACTTACTCATCACGCGGCGCTTCTTGGAGTCCTCTGAGCTTTCAGGGTTACCCCTGTTGGGAAGCAGGCATTTTTTCCCCTCTTCCTGGCGCGTCACAGGACACCCCAGAACTGTTCCAAATCTTTTCTGACTTCCTTCAGATCTTTGCTCTTCTTAATTGGCCCCACCTTTCCTTTAGTAGTTTTGGTTGTTTGCTTGGTTGTTTGTTTGTTTGGTTGGTTGGTTGGTTGGTTGGTTGGTTGGTTTTTCGAGAGGTTTCTCTGTGTAGCCCTGGCTGTCCAAGATCTCGCTCTGTAGACCAGGCTGGCTTCGAATTCAGAGATCTGCCTGCCTCTGCCTCCAAAGTGCTAAGATTAAAGACGTGGGCCACCACACCCAGCCCCCTCCTCCAGTTTTAATGCCCTGTCTAGAGTGTTCCTTGACCTCCCTCTCCCCTCTTCTTGCTTTATTTGTCTCCACACATAGAGCATGGTCTACATTATCTTGCTTTTCAGCCCTTCCTAGTGCTGGAACACAAGTTGAGTTTGATCCCCGAGACCCACATGTTGAAAGAGAGAACCAGCTCCCACAAGAGGTCCCCTGACCTCCCTCCTCACATGCACTGTGTAGTATGTGGACACAAATAAATAAATGTAAAGCAGTTAGGATGGGGACTGGAGAGATGGCTCAGTGGTTAAGAGCATTGGCTGGTCTTCCAGAGGACCCGGGTTCAATCCCCAGCACCCCCCCCCCCACACACACACACACACACACACACACACACACGGCTGCTCACAGCCATCTGTAAGTCTAGTCCTAATGGGATCTGATGCCCTCTTCTGGCCTCCTCGGGTACCAAGACTGAGTGTAGTAAACAGGCATACCTGCACGCAAAACACTCATGCACATAAAGTAAATAAAATTTGAAATTAAGCTGAATATGATCAAATCACATTGCATATATGAATGAAATTCTCAAAGAATAATAAATAAAAATTTTAAAGAAAACAAAAAAGAGAATTGACCCTACGTGAATGAGCTATGGCCCATTACAGGGGTCACAAGCCCTTCCGAGGCTTGGTTCTGCCCTCTGACCTATCCGGTGAGCAGCAAACTCCCCTCCCCTTACCTGACAGTGATGGCCTCGGAACACACACACACACACACACACACACACACACACACACACACACACACACACGCACACGCACACCCCTGTTCACCTGAACACCAGATCCTTGGGCACGTCCTTCTGCTGGCTCTTCTTTCTTCTGGAAGAAAGACACCGGAATGTAAATCTCCAGCCTGAGCCCGAGACCAGGGATTCTCATCTTCCCTTCTGGGCTCCCACTAGCCAAATGCCCACCAGTCCTGTTCCGAGTCTCACCTCCTCCTCTTCAGGAAGAAAATCAGCAAGCCCACCAGGATGAAAAGTAGGAGGATGCCCATGATGGCTCCCACAATGACCCCTGCAGTGAAAAGGGGGGAGAGAGAGGAAGGAGGATGGGGATGATGAGGATGTGATGATGGGGATGAGGAGGAGGAGGAGGATGGTGATGGTGGTGATGATGGGGATGATGGTGACAATGACGACATTAGTGTGTGTGTGTGTGTGTGTGTGTGTGTGTGTGTGTGAGAGAGAGAGAGAGAGAGAGAGAGAGAGAGAGAGAGAGAGAGAGAGAGAGTGTACAGGTACTTTAGAGGCCAGAAGAGGACATCAGATTCCCTGGAGGTGGAGTTCCGTGGAGAAATGAGCACCAAACTCAGTTTCTCTACAAAAGCAGTATGTACTCTCAGCTGGGCATGGTGACTCGTGTCTTTAATCCCAGCACTCGAGAGGCAGAGGCAGGCAATTCTAAGCCTTCAAGAGTTCAAGGCCATCCTGGTCTACAGAGAGAGTTCCAGGACAGCCAGGGCTACACAGAGAAATGGTGTCTGGAGCAACAGCAGCAAAAAGCAACTTGTAGCTCAAATCTTAAATAGATCTTTTAATAAAAGAAAAAACAGAACCACATATTGGGGTAAATGCTGAAAGACCAGAGAGACAGAGGAACAAGCCACTGCCACGTCTTATCTCTAGGACTCCTCAGCCTGAAAAGCCTTCAGTTCCTGTCTCCTAGTGCCTTATATACCTTTCTCTGCCCAGCCATCGCTTCCTTCCTTCCATGCTGGGGTTAAAGGCTTGTGTGCTTCCCAAGCAAAGGCATGCGATCTCAAGTGTTGGAATTAAAGCCACTGCCTGGCTCTCTTTCTCTCCTAGACTGAATCAATCTCATGTAGTCCAGGGTGGCTTTGAACTCATAGAGATCCAACTCATAGGGATCCAGATAGATCTCTGCCTCCTGAGTGCTAGGATTAAAGGTGTGTGTCAGCACTGCCTGGTCTCTATGTTTAATCAAGTGCCTGGCTCTGTCCTCTGATCCTCAGGCAAGCTTTATTTGATACACAGTATATCACCACACAATTGGTTTACAATGCCTCCCTGTGGGGAAGTATAGGAGGCATGACCTTGAAGTAGCTAGTCACATCACATCCACAGTCCAGAATGGAGAACATTGAATCAACTCATGCCAATGCTCAGTTTATTATTTCCATTCCTATGCAATCCAGGATTCCCTACTCAGGGACTGGTGCTACCCACAGTGGGCGGGACTTCCTGGTAATCAAAACAAACCTGCCCCCCCCCCCCAAAGACGTGCCCATGGACTAGCCTTCCCAGGTGATTCTACAGTTAAAGCCCAACCCTTGCACACTCCCTCATCTTCATGGCGTCAGTTCTCCCTAGGATAGGGACTTGGTTTTCTCAGAGATTTGCTTGCCAGGGTGCTTAGCAATGGAGCTCTGATGACATCGGGTACACTCAACACCTTGCTTGTTCCCAAGCTCTGATGAGCTCAGCTCTCCGAGGATCTGTCCTTAGATACCCAGCCCTGGGGGAGACCCATCTCCATCAGCTTTGGAAGCTGGAGGCTGCAGCTGCCCAGCAGTCCTGGCTGTGTAGAGCTGACGGTCAACAGACTCCAGGAGGAACATACGTCCTTTATGAGGACTTGTGTGCCTCACCAACTTGGTCCTTGACCAGACCTTGTCCTCTCCAGGATGCTGGTTTGCTAAGAGAGATACCCCCCTAAGCCACAGAACTGGGCAAAGCGAAGGTTGAGAAGCATACATTTAACACTGCATCCCCTTCCTCTGTCTCTCCGGCCTGTCTAGAGGCCTGATCCCTAGAGTGAAACATACTTTCACAAAGATCATGGTTGGGCCAGCAAGATGGCTCCGGAGGCAAAGGTGCTTGCTGCCAAGTCTGGAGACAGGACCCTTACGGTTGAGGGAAACAACTGCCTCGAGCGAGCTGTCCTTGACTTCCGTACATGCATAGTGGCCTGTGTGTGCACCACCTCCCACAGACAGATACATAAATGTGATAAAAATGTTAAAAGAAAGATTAGAGATAAAAATCTACTGAGATAAAAATTATACAATGCAGCTGGAGAGAGGTGGGTCCGGGTGAAAAGCATTGGCTGCTCTTCTAGAGGATCTGGGTTCAACTCCCAGCACCCCAGGGCAGCTCACAACCTTTTGTAACACCAGCTCCAGGGAATCTGATGCCCTCTTCTGGCCTCTTCCAGTACTGCATGCAAGTGGTACATAGACTTTGGTGAAAGGAAAGCATCCATATTGATAAAAATAAGGGTTTTTTCCTTAAAAAAAAAATAAATAAATAGTAGTTAAAGATGCAATGGAAATACATTGACTAGCATCAAATTGTTTGATGACTTCAAGTGAGTGAATTGGATGTCCAATGGATTTTATCTCAAGAATGCTGTTTTAAGAAAATCAGGAGGGCTAGGGAGTCATTTCAGTCAGTAGAGTGCTTGCATTACAAGCATGAGCACTGAGTTAGATCTCAGAACAAACCTGGCATGCTGGCACATGTCTACGGGGTTGCAGAGACAGGCAGATCCCTGGGGCTTGCTGCCCAACCAGCACAGCGCTGCTTGGTCAGTTTCAAGTCAATGAAAGACCAAAAGAAAAAAATGTGGAGCTGTGAGATGAATTAGGGGGTGAAGGCACTTGCCACCAGGCCAAAGGAATTGAGTTAGATCCCCGTGACCCACACGGTAGGAGGAAATAATTGACTCTTACAATCTGTTTTCTGACCTCCACACACACAAAGAAAAATAAATAAGTAAATGTTATAAAAAAATTTAATGTAGATATACATGAACAACACCCAAGATTGTCCTCTGGCCACATGCATACACACATGTGCACATGAGCCTACACACAGGTACACGCTCAGAGAGAAAGAGAGAGAGACAGAGACAGAGCAGAAAACAAAAGGCAGACAGACCAAAACAAAAACAAAACAAAAAAACCAGTAACAACAAAAACAAAAGCCCATGGCTTCCCTTCACGGCAAGATCTGAAGGTTTGTCCCTGGGACGCTTCTCACCTGTGCTCTCTGTGTAGCAGGTCACAGAGATGGACGGGACCCTCAATCCATTCGAGACAGTCGTGATGGTGGCCGTGTAGGACTGAGCCGGCCCAAGATCTGACACAGACACGCCCTTCTCGCAGAAAGATCCATTCCGGGACATCCATTGCCTGCCCACCTCCACCTCAAAGGTCTCATAACCCCCAGATGGGCAGGACCAGGTCAGGATGACCCCGTAGCCCCCAGAGGTGCTGACACAGGAGATGCTGTTGACAGGATCTGGGGCTGAGTAAAGGAAACAAGAGGAATCGGGATGAGCCACCCACCAAACGTGACTGGTTGTGCACACCCAACTCTCGGAGAGCTCGCCCATCTCGTCCTCTCCAGACTCAAACACCTCATCTTCTCTGATCCTCAAAAGACTGAAGTCCTCCCAGACTACAACTCCCATAATGCCTTGTACTCTGTATCACTGACTGTATAGTCTCAACCTCATGGCATTATGGAATTTGTAGTCCACCCACATTTTTCCCCCTTTAGAATATATAGTCTCAACCTCATGGCATTACGGAATTTGTAGTCCACTCACATTTTTTCCCTTTAGAAATATTTTTGTTACGGGTATGTGTCATAGTCTGTGTAGGGATATATATATATATATGGGTAGAGGTGCCCACTGAGGCCAGAAAAGGGCATTGGGTCTCCTCCACTTAGGTTAAAGGTGTTTGTGAACCACTGAACATAAGTGCTGGGTATTGAACTCTGTAAGGGCAGCAAGTGCTCTTAACCATTGAGCCATCCCACCAACATTTCTGTTCCCTTCTTGCCCATGAAGTCGACCTAAGCCCTATCCCACCAGGTACAAAGAGAGTGAGGCATCTCACCTGTGGGTGCCTGGAGGTGCTGTATGGAGCTGGACACATGGCTCCTCTCCGCCCACACGCTGAAGTTGTACAAAGTGCCAGGCCTGAGACCCTTGGCCTCATAAGAAGACTCATTGGTACTGTCCTTGAAACTGGCTCCATATCCTGAGGTATCTTTCTTTCCCTGGGGCTCTTCTTTCTCACTGGCCCACTGAACCCAGTAGGTGTAGCTGTGAGAATAGCGGTCCTCGGGAGCACTCCATATCAAGGTCACTGAGCTGTTGGTGTGGCTTTTATTCTGTAGATCTGTCACCTCATTGGGAGCTGAAAGTGAGCAGAGCCCTAAGGGTTGTAGACCCAGAGATCCCCCTTCCCAGCCAATCACGTTGGTTAACACCTGTAATCCTAGTATTTGGGAGGCTCAAGTAGGAGATTGCCATGAGTTCAAGGCTAACCTGAGCCACATAGGGAGTTTGTGGTCATCAGTGATTCCAGTGAGAAAAGAAAGAACCTAGAAACATGGTGGGGACCAGGATCATCTGAGTTCTCTCTGTCCATATGTATAGCTCTTCAGTCACCTCAAACTACAATTCCCTTGAGGCCTTGGAATCTCCGTATCTCAATATAGGAAGTCCTGGCCCCGTGGCATGATGGGATTTGTGGTCCAGTTACCTCTCGGGCCCCATGAAGTCTGACCTTTTCTAATTGCCTGTCCCACATCCACCCGAGGACAGGATCCTTTCTTACTCTTAAACACACCAAGTGGTTAGAGGGAGCTACTAATTTTAGTATTCTCAGCCCCGGGGACTAAGGATTAAAGCATTCATCCATCAGCAGTGGACGGAGTCTCTGGAGAGATTTGGGCTCTCCTCATGAGTGGTACCCGCCGTGTGTAGGCTGCGACCAGACATCCTTCACACGTCTATTTCAACAGAAGCAACTGCTGCTGGTGGTGGTGGTTTCTGAGGAGTGGAACTGAGCCTTCCTGACTCCAAGAGCCTACCCACCCAAAAAACCCCAGAACCCGTAGTTTTGAAATTCCTGCTGGTTGAGGAATGACAGTCCCTAGGCATAGGCCATATACATTCAAACTATGGTAACATCAGTGTAGCGCTTTGAATGAAAATGGCCCCCATAGGTTCAGATATTTGAATGCTTAGGCATCAGTTCGTAGACTCCTGCAAGTTGTCCTCTGACTTCTGTACACCCAACCTACCCACAGCCACACACAAATAAATAAAGAGTGGGGTCCCAGACTCAAAGGAGGGACCCTCTTTCCTAGCTCTTAGTCTCTCACCTGTGGCGTTGGACAGGGTCTCCGGAGAGCTTGAGATTCCATTCTTTTGGGCCCACACAGAGAAGTTGTACAAGGTCCCAGCCTCAAGTTCGTCAAATGTGATGCTGGTGTTCGTAATGCTCCGGGTCTCGTTCTTGTCTCGCTCTCCAGTACACTGCACCCTATAGGTGTAACCCTGAAGGTCTGGGTCCTGGGGGGCCTCCCAGCTCCAAGCGATGGAATTATTACTCTGACTCACGCAAAACATGTTTATTACTGGGTTAGGAGCTGAAAGACAATTGAGAATAATTCAAGTTGAGCAGGGATCCCAAACAAGAGAGGCAGTCAGCAGGTATTTCAGGCCCTCAGATCCCCAGCGCTCCTTCAACCCTTTGTTCAACCAGGTTAAGGTGTCTTAGACTAGCCCAGCACTTCTCAGATTTCTCTTATTTCTTGGGGGTTTTTGTTTGATTGATTGATTTGTTTTGTTTTTCAAGTTCTGGAAAGCCCAGGCTGGCCTTTCAACTGGAGAAAGATTGCTCCAAGACAGACCCTGTCTTCTCCTGTGAATGTCGCAAAGGGACTGTATGCTGGATGGTTGGCCCTGTTCTCCTAGCAATGCTCAGGCAGTACCACCAACTGTCCTTAGCAAAACAATGCGTGCGAGTGGCCGTAATCCAGCCATTTGGAGATTGAGGCCAATTTGGGCTACGCAGTAAGTTGGTAGCATTCTTGCCTTGAAAACATGAAGCCTTGGGTTCAATCCCCAGTATTACTCCCCAGATATCATCTATCAATTTATCTATCTATCTATCTATCTATCTATCTATCTATCGATCAATGTATCCATCTATCTACCTACCTATATATCTAACTACCTGTCATTTATCTATAGTCTATCTTATATCTACACATATACATCATCTATAATCTATGTACATATGTCTATCTATCCATCGGAATGGGTGATTTGCATTAGTTCTATTGAATCATAGACACTGCCCCATTCTCCTGTCACCTTTCACCACTTGCCACTAAGGAGAAAGAAGACAAGAGTGTCCACTCTCACCTGTGGAGTGACTGAGAGTCTCCCTGGAGCTGATGACTCCATCTCTTTCCACCCACACAGAACAGTTATATGAAGAGGCAGGATCCAGTCCATCCACGGTGACTCGGGTGTCTGCTGTGTTCCGGGTCTCAATCTGGCCACCATCTTCAGCGCACTGGGCCCAGTAGGTGAGGTCCTGGGAGGAGGAGGAGCCCTCAGGGACGTCCCAAGTCAGGGTGATGGAGCTGGTGTTCTGAGCCTCCACCCTCAGGTTTCTCACTGGGTTTGGAGCTGAGAAATGAACAAAAAAGATACAGGTCAGCATCAGGGCAGAGGAAAGGAGGGCAGCCAGTGGGCACTGTGCTTTCCACGTTTTCTAGCTGATCTCAGTATTTTGTTGGGTAGATGAACCAGGTCTGGTCTTCAGACAGGGTTTCTGTCTCTGCTGGGGTTTCTACTTTTGTGGTAAAGCACCATGACTCAGAGCAACTAGGAGGGGAAAGGGTTAGTTCAGCTTGCAGCTTACAGTCTGTCATGAAGGGAAGTCAGGGCAGGAACTCAAGTCAGGGACCTGGAGGCAGGAACTGAAGCAGGGGCCGTGGAGAAATGCTGCTGACTAGCTTGGTCCCCATAAACGCTCAGTTTGCTTTCATATACACCCCAAGACCACCTACCTAGGGAATGGCACCACCCACTGTGGGACTGTGGGCTGAGCCCTCCCACATCAAGAAAAAGCCTCACAGGGCAATGAAGGCATTTTCTCAATTAAACTTCCTTCTTCCTAGACACCACTCTCTTATGTCAAGTTGACAAAACTAGCCAGTACAGTCTCACGTGGTCCCAGTTACCTTCATAATCTCTATGCAGCCAAGGATAACCCTCACCTTCAGATCCTCCTATCTATCTCTATCTCCTAAGTGCTAGCATCACACCTGGGTATCACTGTGCTGGCCTAGAGCAGTAGTTCTTGAAGTTTGCGTATATGTAACCAGAACTGCTTGTATGGTGATATTTTATTTGTATTAAAATGTTATTTGTATGTTAATAAATAAAGTTGCCCGGGGTCAGAGCTATTAGCAAGCCACAGGAAAGCAGGGCAGTGGTGGCATACGCTTGTAATCCAGCACTTGGTAGGCAGAGCTGGGTAAGTCTCTGTGTGTTCAGGGATACAGCCATTATTGGATACACATGCCTTTAATCTCAATACCAATTATAGAAAACCTGGAGGTCTATACAGACAGGCTGTGACGAGGCGGTCATGTGGTTGGGTTTACAACCAATGAGAAGGCAGAACAGGAACTCTAAAGACTTTAACACAGGGGTAGCTCTGGTTCGGAGAGGTAGGACCACCGCAGGAGGAAGGGTAAGGTTTTAGCTCTTAGCTCTGACCTCTTGGCTTTCTTTTTTGCATTGGTCCTGTGTTTCTTATTTAATAAGAAGGTTGGTTACATCTACATGCTTGAGCACACGGATTCTCTTTCCGTAGGTGAGAAATAAAGCATCCCCAATCAGCTGTAGGGAAATGCTGGTGCTACCCACATGTCAATCATACTGAATATCAAAGATCAAGACCAGCACTTTTTACCTGCTGTCTGTGATGAGGGCCATGCCTTCCCAATCTCCTATGTGACAAGCACCATCAAATTCAAACCAGTCTAGACAACATATTGAGTTCCAAGCTAGTCTGGGAAACATAGGGACATGCTATCTTAAAAGTGAACAAGGGCCTGGGGAAGTAGCTCATCTGATAAAGTATATGCCATACAATCATGAAGACCTGAGTTCAATGACCAGAACCCACGTAAAAAGCAGGACAGGATGGTTCACACCTGTCATCCCAACACTGTGGAAACCAATTTGGGAAGAGAGGATCTGGTCTAAGTGGTGAGTCCATGTCTGAGTAAGAGACTCTATCTCAAAAACAAGGTCCGTGAATCCTGAGGAATCATTCTAAGGTGGATTCCTGGCTTCTGAACAAATAGTCACACACAGGTGAGTGCACACACACGATCCACTGTTACACATGAATGTAATAACCCTACACACACACACACACACACACACACACACACACACACACAAACACTAAAATAGAACTGAATAAAGAGCCAGGTATATAAGCAGAGGCATTTAAATCAAATCAAATAATAAATAAATAAAATGGGCTGGGAGTGGTGGCATCTTCTGTTAATCCCAGCACTAGGAGAGAGAGTAAGGTTGATCTCTGTGAATTCAAGGCCAGCCTGGTCTATAATAGCGAATTCTAGGACAGCCATGGTTCTATCATGAGTCCCTGTCTCAGAGGAAAAAAAGTCTAGACAAGAAGTCTGTCCAGGTTAGACTGAATGGAGCTGATGAGTTGATGGTTCTTGACCGCAACCATGGACCTTCACACACATTCACTCACCTTCACATGGGAAGCACACCCATACACATGCAAGACAAAACACACACACACACACACACACACACACACACACACACACACACACACACACACAGGAAATAGAAAAAGGCAGAAAAAGGAAACTATTTAGGTCTTGTTGGACAACTTGAAACATCCCCTGAAGACCCATTTGACCCATGTCTTGCTCATTTCTGATGTGGCTGATAAAAAAGGGAATCGTCCATTCTTGGCCTCCACTTTATTCCCTCTGGGGCATGACACCTGCAGATTTCTCTTGTCACTTCTCAACTGCCTTTCACCACTTCTGGTTAAGGGGAAAGAAGACAAGAGTGTCTGCTCTCACCTGTGGAGTGACTGAGAGTCTCCCTGGAGCTGATGACTCCATCTCTTTCCACCCACACAGAACAGTTATATGAAGAGGCAGGATCCAGTCCATCCACGGTGACTCGGGTGTCTGCTGTGTTCCGGGTCTCATTCTGGCCACCATCTTCAGCGCACTGGGCCCAGTAGGTGAGGTCCTGGGAGGAGGAGGAGCCCTCAGGGACGTCCCAAGTCAGGGTGATGGAGCTGGTGTTCTGAGCCTCCACCCTCAGGTTTCTCACTGGGTTTGGAGCTGAGAAATGAACAAAAAAGATACAGGTCAGCATCAGGGCAGAGGAAAGGAGGGCAGCCAGTGGGCACTGTGCTTTCCACGTTTTCTAGCTGATCTCAGTATTTTGTTGGGTAGATGAACCAGGTCTGGTCTTCAGACAGGGTTTCTGTCTCTGCTGGGGTTTCTACTTTTGTGGTAAAGCACCATGACTCAGAGCAACTAGGAGGGAAAAGGGTTAGTTCAGCTTGCAGCTTACAGTCTGTCATGAAGGGAAGTCAAGGCAGGAACTCAAGTCAGAGACCTGGAGGCAGGAACTGAAGCAGGGGCTGTGGAGAAATGCTGCTGACTAGCTTGGTCCCCATAAACGCTCAGTTTGCTTTCATATACACCCCAAGACCACCTACCTAGGGAATGGCACCACCCACTGTGGGCAGAAACCACCCACATCAAGAAAAAGCCTCACAGGGCAATGAAGGCATTTTCTCAATTAAACTTCCTTCTTCCTAGACACCACTCTCTTATGTCAAGTTGACAAAACTAGCCAGTACAGTCTCACGTGGTCCCAGTTACCTTCATAATCTCTATGCAGCCAAGGATAACCCTCACCTTCAGATCCTCCTATCTATCTCTATCTCCTAAGTGCTAGCATCACACCTGGGTATCACTGTGCTGGCCTAGAGCAGTAGTTCTTGAAGTTTGCGTATATGTAACCAGAACTGCTTGTATGGTGATATTTTATTTGTATTAAAATGTTATTTGTATGTTAATAAATAAAGTTGCCCGGGGTCAGAGCTATTAGCAAGCCACAGGAAAGCAGGGCAGTGGTGGCGTACGCTTGTAATCCAGCACTTGGTAGGCAGAGTTGGGTAAGTCTCTGTGTGTTCAGGGATACAGCCATTATTGGATACACATGCCTTTAATCTCAATACCAATTATAGAAAACCTGGAGGTCTATACAGACAGGCTGTGACGAGGCGGTCATGTGGTTGGGTTTACAACCAATGAGAAGGCAGAACAGGAACTCTAAAGACTTTAACACAGGGGTAGCTCTGGTTCGGAGAGGTAGGACCACCGCAGGAGGAAGGGTAAGGTTTTAGCTCTTAGCTCTGACCTCTTGGCTTTCTTTTTTGCATTGGTCCTGTGTTTCTTATTTAATAAGAAGGTTGGTTACATCTACATGCTTGAGCACACGGATTCTCTTTCCGTAGGTGAGAAATAAAGCATCCCCAATCAGCTGTAGGGAAATGCTGGTGCTACCCACATGTCAATCATACTGAATATCAAAGATCAAGACCAGCACTTTTTACCTGCTGTCTGTGATGAGGGCCATGCCTTCCCAATCTCCTATGTGACAAGCACCATCAAATTCAAACCAGTCTAGACAACATATTGAGTTCCAAGCTAGTCTGGGAAACATAGGGACATGCTATCTTAAAAGTGAACAAGGGCCTGGGGAAGTAGCTCATCTGATAAAGTATATGCCATACAATCATGAAGACCTGAGTTCAATGACCAGAACCCACGTAAAAAGCAGGACAGGATGGTTCACACCTGTCATCCCAACACTGTGGAAACCAATTTGGGAAGAGAGGATCTGGTCTAAGTGGTGAGTCCATGTCTGAGTAAGAGACTCTATCTCAAAAACAAGGTCCATGAATCCTGAGGAATCATTCTAAGGTGGATTCCTGGCTTCTGAACAAATAGTCACACACAGGTGAGTGCACACACACGATCCACTGTTACACATGAATGTAATAACCCTACACACACACACACACACACACACACACACACACACACACACACACACACAAACACTAAAATAGAACTGAATAAAGAGCCAGGTATATAAGCAGAGGCATTTAAATCAAATCAAATAATAAATAAATAAAATGGCCTGGGAGTGGTGGCATCTTCTGTTAATCCCAGCACTAGGAGAGAGAGTAAGGTTGATCTCTGTGAATTCAAGGCCAGCCTGGTCTATAATAGCGAATTCTAGGACAGCCATGGTTCTATCATGAGTCCCTGTCTCAGAGGAAAAAAAGTCTAGACAAGAAGTCTGTCCAGGTTAGACTGAATGGAGCTGATGAGTTGATGGTTCTTGACCGCAACCATGGACCTTCACACACATTCACTCACCTTCACATGGGAAGCACACCCATACACATGCAAGACAAAACACACACACACACACACACACACACACACACACACACAGGAAATAGAAAAAGGCAGAAAAAGGAAACTATTTAGGTCTTGTTGGACAACTTGAAACATCCCCTGAAGACCCATTTGACCCATGTCTTGCTCATTTCTGATGTGGCTGATAAAAAAGGGAATCGTCCATTCTTGGCCTCCACTTTATTCCCTCTGGGGCATGACACCTGCAGATTTCTCTTGTCACTTCTCAACTGCCTTTCACCACTTCTGGTTAAGGGGAAAGAAGACAAGAGTGTCTGCTCTCACCTGTGGAGTGACTGAGAGTCTCCCTGGAGCTGATGACTCCATCTCTTTCCACCCACACAGAACAGTTATATGAAGAGGCAGGATCCAGTCCATCCACGGTGACTCGGGTGTCTGCTGTGTTCCGGGTCTCATTCTGGCCACCATCTTCAGCGCACTGGGCCCAGTAGGTGAGGTCCTGGGAGGAGGAGGAGCCCTCAGGGACGTCCCAAGTCAGGGTGATGGAGCTGGTGTTCTGAGCCTCCACCCTCAGGTTTCTCACTGGGTTTGGAGCTGAGAAATGAACAAAAAAGATACAGGTCAGCATCAGGGCAGAGGAAAGGAGGGCAGCCAGTGGGCACTGTGCTTTCCACGTTTTCTAGCTGATCTCAGTATTTTGTTGGGTAGATGAACCAGGTCTGGTCTTCAGACAGGGTTTCTGTCTCTGCTGGGGTTTCTACTTTTGTGGTAAAGCACCATGACTCAGAGCAACTAGGAGGGAAAAGGGTTAGTTCAGCTTGCAGCTTACAGTCTGTCATGAAGGGAAGTCAAGGCAGGAACTCAAGTCAGAGACCTGGAGGCAGGAACTGAAGCAGGGGCTGTGGAGAAATGCTGCTGACTAGCTTGGTCCCCATAAACGCTCAGTTTGCTTTCATATACACCCCAAGACCACCTACCTAGGGAATGGCACCACCCACTGTGGGCAGAAACCACCCACATCAAGAAAAAGCCTCACAGGGCAATGAAGGCATTTTCTCAATTAAACTTCCTTCTTCCTAGACACCACTCTCTTATGTCAAGTTGACAAAACTAGCCAGTACAGTCTCACGTGGTCCCAGTTACCTTCATAATCTCTATGCAGCCAAGGATAACCCTCACCTTCAGATCCTCCTATCTATCTCTATCTCCTAAGTGCTAGCATCACACCTGGGTATCACTGTGCTGGCCTAGAGCAGTAGTTCTTGAAGTTTGCGTATATGTAACCAGAACTGCTTGTATGGTGATATTTTATTTGTATTAAAATGTTATTTGTATGTTAATAAATAAAGTTGCCCGGGGTCAGAGCTATTAGCAAGCCACAGGAAAGCAGGGCAGTGGTGGCGTACGCTTGTAATCCAGCACTTGGTAGGCAGAGCTGGGTAAGTCTCTGTGTGTTCAGGGATACAGCCATTATTGGATACACATGCCTTTAATCTCAATACCAATTATAGAAAACCTGGAGGTCTATACAGACAGGCTGTGACGAGGCGGTCATGTGGTTGGGTTTACAACCAATGAGAAGGCAGAACAGGAACTCTAAAGACTTTAACACAGGGGTAGCTCTGGTTCGGAGAGGTAGGACCACCGCAGGAGGAAGGGTAAGGTTTTAGCTCTTAGCTCTGACCTCTTGGCTTTCTTTTTTGCATTGGTCCTGTGTTTCTTATTTAATAAGAAGGTTGGTTACATCTACATGCTTGAGCACACGGATTCTCTTTCCGTAGGTGAGAAATAAAGCATCCCCAATCAGCTGTAGGGAAATGCTGGTGCTACCCACATGTCAATCATACTGAATATCAAAGATCAAGACCAGCACTTTTTACCTGCTGTCTGTGATGAGGGCCATGCCTTCCCAATCTCCTATGTGACAAGCACCATCAAATTCAAACCAGTCTAGACAACATATTGAGTTCCAAGCTAGTCTGGGAAACATAGGGACATGCTATCTTAAAAGTGAACAAGGGCCTGGGGAAGTAGCTCATCTGATAAAGTATATGCCATACAATCATGAAGACCTGAGTTCAATGACCAGAACCCACGTAAAAAGCAGGACAGGATGGTTCACACCTGTCATCCCAACACTGTGGAAACCAATTTGGGAAGAGAGGATCTGGTCTAAGTGGTGAGTCCATGTCTGAGTAAGAGACTCTATCTCAAAAACAAGGTCCATGAATCCTGAGGAATCATTCTAAGGTGGATTCCTGGCTTCTGAACAAATAGTCACACACAGGTGAGTGCACACACACGATCCACTGTTACACATGAATGTAATAACCCTACACACACACACACACACACACACACACACACACACACACAAACACTAAAATAGAACTGAATAAAGAGCCAGGTATATAAGCAGAGGCATTTAAATCAAATCAAATAATAAATAAATAAAATGGGCTGGGAGTGGTGGCATCTTCTGTTAATCCCAGCACTAGGAGAGAGAGTAAGGTTGATCTCTGTGAATTCAAGGCCAGCCTGGTCTATAATAGCGAATTCTAGGACAGCCATGGTTCTATCATGAGTCCCTGTCTCAGAGGAAAAAAAGTCTAGACAAGAAGTCTGTCCAGGTTAGACTGAATGGAGCTGATGAGTTGATGGTTCTTGACCGCAACCATGGACCTTCACACACATTCACTCACCTTCACATGGGAAGCACACCCATACACATGCAAGACAAAACACACACACACACACACACACACACACACACACACACACACACACACACACAGGAAATAGAAAAAGGCAGAAAAAGGAAACTATTTAGGTCTTGTTGGACAACTTGAAACATCCCCTGAAGACCCATTTGACCCATGTCTTGCTCATTTCTGATGTGGCTGATAAAAAAGGGAATCGTCCATTCTTGGCCTCCACTTTATTCCCTCTGGGGCATGACACCTGCAGATTTCTCTTGTCACTTCTCAACTGCCTTTCACCACTTCTGGTTAAGGGGAAAGAAGACAAGAGTGTCTGCTCTCACCTGTGGAGTGACTGAGAGTCTCCCTGGAGCTGATGACTCCATCTCTTTCCACCCACACAGAACAGTTATATGAAGAGGCAGGATCCAGTCCATCCACGGTGACTCGGGTGTCTGCTGTGTTCCGGGTCTCATTCTGGCCACCATCTTCAGCGCACTGGGCCCAGTAGGTGAGGTCCTGGGAGGAGGAGGAGCCCTCAGGGACGTCCCAAGTCAGGGTGATGGAGCTGGTGTTCTGAGCCTCCACCCTCAGGTTTCTCACTGGGTTTGGAGCTGAGAAATGAACAAAAAAGATACAGGTCAGCATCAGGGCAGAGGAAAGGAGGGCAGCCAGTGGGCACTGTGCTTTCCACGTTTTCTAGCTGATCTCAGTATTTTGTTGGGTAGATGAACCAGGTCTGGTCTTCAGACAGGGTTTCTGTCTCTGCTGGGGTTTCTACTTTTGTGGTAAAGCACCATGACTCAGAGCAACTAGGAGGGAAAAGGGTTAGTTCAGCTTGCAGCTTACAGTCTGTCATGAAGGGAAGTCAAGGCAGGAACTCAAGTCAGAGACCTGGAGGCAGGAACTGAAGCAGGGGCTGTGGAGAAATGCTGCTGACTAGCTTGGTCCCCATAAACGCTCAGTTTGCTTTCATATACACCCCAAGACCACCTACCTAGGGAATGGCACCACCCACTGTGGGCAGAAACCACCCACATCAAGAAAAAGCCTCACAGGGCAATGAAGGCATTTTCTCAATTAAACTTCCTTCTTCCTAGACACCACTCTCTTATGTCAAGTTGACAAAACTAGCCAGTACAGTCTCACGTGGTCCCAGTTACCTTCATAATCTCTATGCAGCCAAGGATAACCCTCACCTTCAGATCCTCCTATCTATCTCTATCTCCTAAGTGCTAGCATCACACCTGGGTATCACTGTGCTGGCCTAGAGCAGTAGTTCTTGAAGTTTGCGTATATGTAACCAGAACTGCTTGTATGGTGATATTTTATTTGTATTAAAATGTTATTTGTATGTTAATAAATAAAGTTGCCCGGGGTCAGAGCTATTAGCAAGCCACAGGAAAGCAGGGCAGTGGTGGCGTACGCTTGTAATCCAGCACTTGGTAGGCAGAGTTGGGTAAGTCTCTGTGTGTTCAGGGATACAGCCATTATTGGATACACATGCCTTTAATCTCAATACCAATTATAGAAAACCTGGAGGTCTATACAGACAGGCTGTGACGAGGCGGTCATGTGGTTGGGTTTACAACCAATGAGAAGGCAGAACAGGAACTCTAAAGACTTTAACACAGGGGTAGCTCTGGTTCGGAGAGGTAGGACCACCGCAGGAGGAAGGGTAAGGTTTTAGCTCTTAGCTCTGACCTCTTGGCTTTCTTTTTTGCATTGGTCCTGTGTTTCTTATTTAATAAGAAGGTTGGTTACATCTACATGCTTGAGCACACGGATTCTCTTTCCGTAGGTGAGAAATAAAGCATCCCCAATCAGCTGTAGGGAAATGCTGGTGCTACCCACATGTCAATCATACTGAATATCAAAGATCAAGACCAGCACTTTTTACCTGCTGTCTGTGATGAGGGCCATGCCTTCCCAATCTCCTATGTGACAAGCACCATCAAATTCAAACCAGTCTAGACAACATATTGAGTTCCAAGCTAGTCTGGGAAACATAGGGACATGCTATCTTAAAAGTGAACAAGGGCCTGGGGAAGTAGCTCATCTGATAAAGTATATGCCATACAATCATGAAGACCTGAGTTCAATGACCAGAACCCACGTAAAAAGCAGGACAGGATGGTTCACACCTGTCATCCCAACACTGTGGAAACCAATTTGGGAAGAGAGGATCTGGTCTAAGTGGTGAGTCCATGTCTGAGTAAGAGACTCTATCTCAAAAACAAGGTCCATGAATCCTGAGGAATCATTCTAAGGTGGATTCCTGGCTTCTGAACAAATAGTCACACACAGGTGAGTGCACACACACGATCCACTGTTACACATGAATGTAATAACCCTACACACACACACACACACACACACACACACACACACACACAAACACTAAAATAGAACTGAATAAAGAGCCAGGTATATAAGCAGAGGCATTTAAATCAAATCAAATAATAAATAAATAAAATGGCCTGGGAGTGGTGGCATCTTCTGTTAATCCCAGCACTAGGAGAGAGAGTAAGGTTGATCTCTGTGAATTCAAGGCCAGCCTGGTCTATAATAGCGAATTCTAGGACAGCCATGGTTCTATCATGAGTCCCTGTCTCAGAGGAAAAAAAGTCTAGACAAGAAGTCTGTCCAGGTTAGACTGAATGGAGCTGATGAGTTGATGGTTCTTGACCGCAACCATGGACCTTCACACACATTCACTCACCTTCACATGGGAAGCACACCCATACACATGCAAGACAAAACACACACACACACACACACACACACACACACACACACACACACACACACACACAGGAAATAGAAAAAGGCAGAAAAAGGAAACTATTTAGGTCTTGTTGGACAACTTGAAACATCCCCTGAAGACCCATTTGACCCATGTCTTGCTCATTTCTGATGTGGCTGATAAAAAAGGGAATCGTCCATTCTTGGCCTCCACTTTATTCCCTCTGGGGCATGACACCTGCAGATTTCTCTTGTCACTTCTCAACTGCCTTTCACCACTTCTGGTTAAGGGGAAAGAAGACAAGAGTGTCTGCTCTCACCTGTGGAGTGACTGAGAGTCTCCCTGGAGCTGATGACTCCATCTCTTTCCACCCACACAGAACAGTTATATGAAGAGGCAGGATCCAGTCCATCCACGGTGACTCGGGTGTCTGCTGTGTTCCGGGTCTCATTCTGGCCACCATCTTCAGCGCACTGGGCCCAGTAGGTGAGGTCCTGGGAGGAGGAGGAGCCCTCAGGGACGTCCCAAGTCAGGGTGATGGAGCTGGTGTTCTGAGCCTCCACCCTCAGGTTTCTCACTGGGTTTGGAGCTGAGAAATGAACAAAAAAGATACAGGTCAGCATCAGGGCAGAGGAAAGGAGGGCAGCCAGTGGGCACTGTGCTTTCCACGTTTTCTAGCTGATCTCAGTATTTTGTTGGGTAGATGAACCAGGTCTGGTCTTCAGACAGGGTTTCTGTCTCTGCTGGGGTTTCTACTTTTGTGGTAAAGCACCATGACTCAGAGCAACTAGGAGGGAAAAGGGTTAGTTCAGCTTGCAGCTTACAGTCTGTCATGAAGGGAAGTCAAGGCAGGAACTCAAGTCAGAGACCTGGAGGCAGGAACTGAAGCAGGGGCTGTGGAGAAATGCTGCTGACTAGCTTGGTCCCCATAAACGCTCAGTTTGCTTTCATATACACCCCAAGACCACCTACCTAGGGAATGGCACCACCCACTGTGGGCAGAAACCACCCACATCAAGAAAAAGCCTCACAGGGCAATGAAGGCATTTTCTCAATTAAACTTCCTTCTTCCTAGACACCACTCTCTTATGTCAAGTTGACAAAACTAGCCAGTACAGTCTCACGTGGTCCCAGTTACCTTCATAATCTCTATGCAGCCAAGGATAACCCTCACCTTCAGATCCTCCTATCTATCTCTATCTCCTAAGTGCTAGCATCACACCTGGGTATCACTGTGCTGGCCTAGAGCAGTAGTTCTTGAAGTTTGCGTATATGTAACCAGAACTGCTTGTATGGTGATATTTTATTTGTATTAAAATGTTATTTGTATGTTAATAAATAAAGTTGCCCGGGGTCAGAGCTATTAGCAAGCCACAGGAAAGCAGGGCAGTGGTGGCGTACGCTTGTAATCCAGCACTTGGTAGGCAGAGCTGGGTAAGTCTCTGTGTGTTCAGGGATACAGCCATTATTGGATACACATGCCTTTAATCTCAATACCAATTATAGAAAACCTGGAGGTCTATACAGACAGGCTGTGACGAGGCGGTCATGTGGTTGGGTTTACAACCAATGAGAAGGCAGAACAGGAACTCTAAAGACTTTAACACAGGGGTAGCTCTGGTTCGGAGAGGTAGGACCACCGCAGGAGGAAGGGTAAGGTTTTAGCTCTTAGCTCTGACCTCTTGGCTTTCTTTTTTGCATTGGTCCTGTGTTTCTTATTTAATAAGAAGGTTGGTTACATCTACATGCTTGAGCACACGGATTCTCTTTCCGTAGGTGAGAAATAAAGCATCCCCAATCAGCTGTAGGGAAATGCTGGTGCTACCCACATGTCAATCATACTGAATATCAAAGATCAAGACCAGCACTTTTTACCTGCTGTCTGTGATGAGGGCCATGCCTTCCCAATCTCCTATGTGACAAGCACCATCAAATTCAAACCAGTCTAGACAACATATTGAGTTCTAAGCCAGTCTGGGAAACATAGGAACATGCTATCTCAAAAATGAACAAGGGCCTGGGGAAGTAGCGCATCTGATAAAGTATATGCCATACAATCATGAAGACCTGAGTTCAATGACCAGAACCCACGTAAAAAGCAGGACAGGATGGTTCACACCTGTCATCCCAACACTGTGGAAACCAATTTGGGAAGAGAGGATCTGGTCTAAGTGGTGAGTCCATGTCTGAGTAAGAGACTCTATCTCAAAAACAAGGTCCGTGAATCCTGAGGAATCATTCTAAGGTGGATTCCTGGCTTCTGAACAAATAGTCACACACAGGTGAGTGCACACACACGATCCACTGTTACACATGAATGTAATAACCCTACACACACACACACACACACACACACACACAAACACTAAAATAGAACTGAATAAAGAGCCAGGTATATAAGCAGAGGCATTTAAATCAAATCAAATAATAAATAAATAAAATGGGCTGGGAGTGGTGGCATCTTCTGTTAATCCCAGCACTAGGAGGGAGAGTAAGGTTGATCTCTGTGAATTCAAGGCCAGCCTGGTCTATAATAGCGAATTCTAGGACAGCCATGGTTCTATCATGAGTCCCTGTCTCAGAGGAAAAAAAGTCTAGACAAGAAGTCTGTCCAGGTTAGACTGAATGGAGCTGATGAGTTGATGGTTCTTGACCGCAACCATGGACCTTCACACACATTCACTCACCTTCACATGGGAAGCACACACATACACATGCAAGACAAAACACACACACACACACACACACACACACACACACACACACACACACACACACACACGAAATAGAAAAAGGCAGAAAAAGGATACTATTTAGGTCTTGTTGGACAACTTGAAACATCCCCTGAAGACCCATTTGACCCATGTCTTGCTCATTTCTGATGTGGCTGATAAAAAAGGGAATCGTCCATTCTTGGCCTCCACTTTATTCCCTCTGGGGCATGACACCTGCAGATTTCTCTTGTCACTTCTCAACTGCCTTTCACCACTTCTGGTTAAGGGGAAAGAAGACAAGAGTGTCTGCTCTCACCTGTGGAGTGACTGAGAGTCTCCCTGGAGCTGATGACTCCATCTCTTTCCACCCACACAGAACAGTTATATGAAGAGGCAGGATCCAGTCCATCCACGGTGACTCGGGTGTCTGCTGTGTTCCGGGTCTCAATCTGGCCACCATCTTCAGCGCACTGGGCCCAGTAGGTGAGGTCCTGGGAGGAGGAGGAGCCCTCAGGGACGTCCCAAGTCAGGGTGATGGAGCTGGTGTTCTGAGCCTCCACCCTCAGGTTTCTCACTGGGTTTGGAGCTGAGAAATGAACAAAAAAGATACAGGTCAGCATCAGGGCAGAGGAAAGGAGGGCAGCCAGTGGGCACTGTGCTTTCCACGTTTTCTAGCTGATCTCAGTATTTTGTTGGGTAGATGAACCAGGTCTGGTCTTCAGACAGGGTTTCTGTCTCTGCTGGGGTTTCTACTTTTGTGGTAAAGCACCATGACTCAGAGCAACTAGGAGGGGAAAGGGTTAGTTCAGCTTGCAGCTTACAGTCTGTCATGAAGGAAGTCAGGGCAGGCACTCAAGTCAGGGACCTGGAGGCAGGAACTGAAGCAGGGGCCGTGGAGAAATGCTACTGACTAGCTTGGTCCCCATAAACTCTCAGTTTGCTTTCATATACACCCCAAGACCACCTGCCTAGGGAATGGTACCACCCGCTGTGGGACTGTGGGCTGAGCCCTCCCACATCAATCAGTCATCAAGAAAATGATGGCATTTTCTCAATTAAACTTCCCTCTTCCTAGACGCCACTCTCTTATGTCAAGTTGACAAAATTAACCAGTACAGTCTCATGTGGTCCCAGTTACCTTCATAATCTCTGTGCAGCCACGGATAACCCTCACCTTCAGATCCTCCTATCTATCTCTATCTCCTAAGTGCTAGCCTCACACCTGGGTATCACTGTGCTGGCCTAGACCCGTAGTTCTTGAAGTTTACATATATGTAACCAGAACTGCTTGAGCATACAGATTCTCTTTCTGAAAGATGTGAAATAGAGCATCCCCAATCAGCTGTAGGGAAATGCTGGTGCTACCCACATGTCAATCATACTAAATATCAAAGATCTAGACCAGCACTTTCTACCTGCTGTCTGTGATGAGGGCCATGCCTTCCCAATCTCCTGTGTGACAAGCACCATCAAATTCAAACCAGTCTAGACAACATATTGAGTTCCAAGCCAGTCTGGGAAACATAGGGACATGCTATCTCAAAAATGAACAAGGGCCTGGGGAGGTAGCTCATCTGATAAAGTATTTGCCGTATAATCTCGAGGACATGAGTTCAATTCCCAGAACCCACGTGAAAACATGACAGGATGGCTCACACATGTCATCCCTATGGAAGCCAATGTGGGAAGAGAGGTTCTGGTCTAAGTGCTGAGTCCATGTCTGAGTAAGAGACTCTGTCTCCAAAACAAGGTTGGTGACTCTGAGGAACCACATCTAAGGCTGATTCCTGGCTTCTGAACAAATATTCACACACAGGCGTGTGCACACACATGATCCACTGTTACACATGAATGTAATAACCTACACATATATGCACACACAAACAAACACACACACACACACACACACACACACACACACACACACACACACACACTAACATTACAAAAGAACTGAATAAAGAGGCAGGCATACAAGCAGAGGTCTTAAACCCCAGCATTTGGGAGGCAGAAGCAGGTGGACCTCTGTACTTCAAGAACAACCTGATCTACATATAGAGTTCCAGGACAGCCAGAGGGACAAAACAGAGAGACTCTCTCTTTCAAAAGAAGGAGGAGGAGGAAGAGGAGGAGGAGGAGGAGCAGGAGGAGGAAGAGGAGGAGGAGGAGAAGGAGGAGGAAGAGGAGGAGGAGGAGGAAGAGGAAGAGGAAGAGGAGGAAGAGGAGGATGAATAAGAATTGGAAGAACAACAACACCAGCAGCAGCAACATAAAACACACCCACATTAGACAACAAAATTCTAGCATATCAACACTATGTTGAGGGCTGGTGAGCTGGCTTTGCTAGTTAAACGGCTTGCTGCCACATCTAACAACTGAGTTCCATCCTACAACCCACAAGGTGGAAGGAGAGAAGTGACTTCCGGGGGTTGTCTGTGACCTCCGCACGCATAGTGTCATGTACACCTCCAAAACACACACACACACACACACACACACACACACACACACACACACACACACACACCAATAAATAAATAAAGGTACAAAAAATACCCTCCAAGGCTCAGGGAACGTGACAGAGGAGGAGGGCAGGAAGATGATGAGAGGCAGAGGTGTCTTCTGGACAGGACGGGACTGTTGCACACTCATGAACTCACAGCGGCGGTGGAGATTGCTTGCACGAATCATGAAGGAGACCAGGACAGCCAACATTCCAGCGTAGCTGTGGGGGGAATACTGAAGTTCCACCCGCTAGCTGAAGGGCTATCATAGGCAGTTTGCCACTAGAGGAAGGAGAGTCAGTTTTCCTCAGGGTTGTGGACCTGGTAGGTTGGTCAAGCCTCCGTGATGGCCCCAAACCCATGAGTACATAAGCAGCATAAGTTATACCCTGTGGAGTATTGTCTTAGGGTTTCTTTAATTTTTATTATTATTAATTTTTTAGGGTCCTCTGTGTAGCCCAGGCTGTCCTAGAATTGGCTCAGTAGACCAGGCTGGCCTAGAACTCAGAGATCCAACAGTTTCTGCCTCTTGAGTACTGGGATTCAAGGCGTGTGCCACCACCATCCACCTCTAGATAGAGTTTATATTGCTGTGATAAAACAGTATGACCAAAAGCAACTTGGGGAGCAAAAGCTTTAGTTCCACTCATCCTTCACAGCCCATCACTGAGGGATGCCAAGGCAAGAACCCGGAAGCAGCAACTGAAGCAGAAACCATGGAGAAATGATGTTTCCTGGCTTGCTGCACAGACACACACACACACACACACACACACACACACACACACACACACACACGCACGGTGCACAGACATATGTGCAGGGAAATACCCATGTACAAAAAATAAGTTTTTTAATTTTAAAGTAAATTTTCTGGGCATGATCGTGTATGCCTTTAATCCCAGCATTCAGGAGACAGAGGCAGGAGGTACTCTGTGAGTTCGAGGCCAGCCTGGTGTACAGAGTGAGTTCCAGAACAGCCAAAGATACACAGAGAAACTCTGTCTCGAAAGAAAAAGAATGTAAGTGAATTAAACCATTCTCAGAAAGAGAAAGGGCGGATATCTCTCTCATTTCTTGTTCCTAGACTTTTATATAGTTACATAAAATCATATAGACGTGACGTAAAAGTAAAGGAAAGCTCTCTGTGACAGGAAGGCCAATAGGAGTGCATGGGGGAAGGAAAATGAGGCCATGAGAAGGACTGTGCTTAGTGTAAAAAAGACATCTTGGTATTCAAAATTAAGGGGCTGCCAAGATGGCTCAGCAGATAAAGGTGATTGCCACCAAGTCTGATGACTTGGGTTCAATCTCTAAGACCCACATATTGGAAGGAGAGAATTTACTCCCACCAAATTGTCCTCTGACCTCCACATACTCATCCACACACACAATAAACAAACACATATCAAATCAAATGAAATAATAAATAAAATGGGCTGGGAGTGGTGGCATCTTCTGTTAATCCCAGCACTCAGAGGCAGAGTAAAATTGATCTCTGTGAATTCAAGGCCAGCCTGGTCTATAATAGTGAATTCTAAGACAGCCATGGTTCTATCATGAGTCCCTGTCTCAGAGGAAAAAAAGTCTAGACAAGAAGTCTGTCCAGGTTAGAATGAATGGAGCTGATGAGTTGATGGTTCTTGACCACAACCATGGACCTTCACACACATTCACTCACCTTCACATGGGAAGCACACACATACACATGCAAGACAAAACACACACACACACACACACACACACACACACACACACACACACACACACACAGGAAATAGAAAAAGGCAGAAAAAGGAGACTATTTAGGTCTTGTTGGACAACTTGAAACATCCCCTGAAGACCCATTTGACCCATGTCTTGCTCATTTCTGATGTGGCTGATAAAAAAGGGAATCGTCCATTCTTGGCCTCCACTTTATTCCCTCTGGGGCATGACACCTGCAGATTTCTCTTGTCACTTCTCAACCGCCTTTCACCACTTCTGGTTAAGGAGAAAGAAGACAAGAGTGTCTGCTCTCACCTGTGGAGTGACTGAGAATCTCCCTGGAGCTGCTGACTCCATCTCTTTCCACCCACACAGAACAGTTATATGAAGAGGCAGGATCCAGTCCATCCACGGTGACTCGGGTGTCTGCTGTGTTCCGGGTCTCAATCTGGCCACCATCTTCAGCGCACTGGGCCCAGTAGGTGAGGTCCTGGGAGGAGGAGGAGCCCTCAGGGACGTCCCAAGTCAGGGTGATGGAGCTGGTGTTCTGAGCCTCCACCCTCAGGTTTCTCACTGGGTTTGGAGCTGAGAATAAGGGCAGAAGTGTGAGTCATTTGCTCCCAAATTTTCCTAATCTGTGAAACCTAGGTGGCTTGTGCCTACAACGTCATCCCTTGGGAGACTGAGACGGGAGGACTTCCTAAGTTCAAAGACAGTCTGGGCTTCCTATTTAATTATAAGCTGGCGATATGGAGTCATATGTGCAGTTAAGCATGCACACACAAATACATACATGTGATAGCAATAAATAAAATTAGATATAATATAAAATAAATAAGGTACTGAGCCACACAGGAAGACAGCTGTTAACGTACTCTGACTACCATCACCACCACCACCACCACCACCCCCACACACATACAAATAAATGAATACATCGACTGGGTATGGTGGCATATGCCTTTAATCCCAGCACTTGGAAGGCAATTAGTTAGTTCAAGGCCAGCAGAGTGAGTTCCAGGATAGCCAGGGCTACACAGAGAAACCCTGTCTTGAAAAATCAAATAAATAAATAAATAAATAAATAAATAAATAAATAAATAAATAAATAAATAAATAAATAAATGGTTTAATTAATTAATTAATATAAGAATGAACCAGGGTTTGGACATGCTCCAGGCGCCAAGTAGAGACAAGTGCATGGACTTCTACCAGTGACCTTCATGGCTCCTCAGCCTTGTTCAGAGAAGCTGCTCTCTGTGGTGACATGGTTAACACAGGGACTCCTGACACACCCGCCATCCCCTCCAAGGCTCAGAGAACATCATGGAAAGGGGGTGAAAGGAATGTAAGACCGGGAAGATGGGGAGGAGGGGTGTGAAATGCTTGTCTTGAGGTCACGACATAGCTGTAGTACTCATGAACTCCCAACAGCTGTGGTCATAGGTATAAAGCCTACACAAGATGAATGCCCTAAACATTCATATATGGAGGGTGTACTCATGAGACCCTACCTAGGGGAGCAAATGGCAGTCCAGGGCTGCTGGGAGAGAGGAAGTCACTGTCCTCAGTGACCTAGCCACCTGCTTCAATGGATAACACCATACCCACACCCAGGTCACAAAATAAAAACAAAAGGCAATGCAGCTGTTGCTCCCATCTGGGGTCGGGACTGTAAGAAAGACCAATGGGAAGATCAACTATTCCTGGTCCTCACATTTCTGTAAGTCATGGACCCCGTGGTAGGTGGCTGAGGCCAATAGGAAGTCCAGTAGGGAGGCACAAGTTTTGTGTGATGGGTGAGCTCTGGGGATGTGGCCAGGTGCAACCCATGGAGCTAGGGATAATCTAGTATGAAATTAGGAATGCTGATTTTGTGCTCCCTTTATGCTCATAATGCAAAGCCAGGGAGCCTCCTGGACCCACTGGGCTACATGAACTATGAGGATCCATTTACCTGTATCTCTTTTCCTCTATTTAAGGTGGGTGATAAAACCCAGAGATTCACTCGTATGGATTTCACTCCAGTTCTGTTGGACTGTGGAATCTGCCACCTTCTGTTCTCTCTCTCTCTCTCTCTCTCTCTCTCTCTGTCTCTCTCTCTCTCTCTCTCTCTCTCTCTCTGTCTCTCCTCTCTCCCCCCGCCCCCAGGGTTTCTCTGTGTAGCCCTGGCTGTCCTGGATCTCGCTCTATAGACCAGGCTGGCCTCGAACTCACAGAGATCATCCTGTCTCTGACTCCCGAGTGCTGGGATCAAAGACATGCGCCGCCACTGCCATCACCACCGCCACCGCCACCACCACCACCAGGCTCTCCTGTCACCCCTTAAGCACGTCCCTTCCAAAGAAAGGAAGACTACAAGAGAGTCTGCCTCTCACCTGTGGAGGCGTTGACCGTTTGTGTGGAGCTTCTGCTTCCATCCTTTTCTACCCACACGGAAAATTCATGCGAAGAAGCAGGAGCAAGCCCTTCCACCACGACCCGGGTGTCCGTGGTGTTCTGAATGTCCCTTCTCTCACCATCTCCACGCCACCGGACCCAGCCGGTCAGGTTCTGAGGGCCAGGGGGCTCTGGGGCCTCCCAGCTCAGAGTGACGGAGCTGGAGTTCCGAGCTTCCTCTGTCAGGTTCCTCACTGGGTTTCGGGCTGAGGATTAGAGGGAGGCTTTCCGGTGAGAAAGGCGTGGATCATTCCTCAGGCCCCCTCCCACCACTGTGGACCACCTCCCCGCATCCAAGCTGAGAATCTCCCCTTGCCCTCAGCCCGCCGCCATGGGCCGTCAGACCCAGAGGAACCGGGGTCTCCTCCCCTGGCAAGGACAACGATGGAACGTGGGGTTTTACTCACCAGCCGCCCCGACCACCGTGCAACCCGACAGACCCTAGAGGGGATCCAGGTAAGGAGAAATTAGCTGAGCTGGGTGAGACTGGGGAGGCGGGGCTGGCGTGGCTGGTTGAGACTCCCCTGATCTCTGTCCCCAACCTTTCCTTCAGCCTTGACCAAGGAGAGGAATGTGGGTGTGATAAAGGTCGCCCTGACCCTGGCGCTCTGTTGGTTCGGAAGACCGGTCACCCACGGCAGAGGCGGAACTCCCGGGCATCGGGAACCAACCTTGGTTCCCGGATACAGGCAAGAGATAACGTGAGGACTTTCACTTTCTGAGAAAATACAGGCAGAGGCCTTGGGGGAGGGAGGGTGGCCCTGGGGGACAGCAGGAGGAAAATGAAAATGGACTCTGAAGACAGACTGTGGGCAGAGTGGAGGGAGGCCAGAGCCTGGACGCCGCCGTGGGTTTGTGGGAAGAGAGTTAGGGTGTGGGAGGCAGGGGGCTGGGCCGTGTGTGTGTGTGTGTGTGTGTGTGTGTGTGTGAGCGCGGCTGGATGCATGCTCACTCTCACGCCAGACACCACAGCATCCAGACTCCACTGTTAGTAAGACTTGTCTATATTCCTCCAAACTCAGAGCATCCTTCCTTCTCCAGGTAGTGACCACCCCCTGCTCCTCCAAGGCCCTGGCTGAGGAACCTCCCTCCACACCTCTGGGAATGGAAATTCCAGCCACTTTCTACCCTTCCCTCCCTTGGACCCCAGCTCAGGCCTGAGCGGGAGAGAACTTACCAGTAGCACCAAAGTCCCCCAGATCCCGAGGTTGCCACCAGCCCTGGCCATGTGTCTTGATGCTGCATAGGGAACACAGGAGTCCTAGGTCTGGAACTTTACCTGCTGGACTTTAAACTCAAGAATTTTTCTTTTGCCAGCCCATTGGTGAGGCCAGAGGCTAACACTGGAATGGGCGGAGGAGGAAGTAGAATCTCTGAGCTTGAGAGCCCAGCACGGCCCTGCCCTGTCCCTCACCCCCCTTCCTTTCCTCTCAATCCCCACACAGACATCCTCCACATCTTCTTTTTGGTCCTGTCTGGAACCCCCAGGGCTCAACTCACCCCATTTTGTACCACAAAAGCTTCTTCCCTGCTCAGTGGCCTTGAGATCCCCTAGGCAGGCCGAGGTCACTTTCCACCGTGTGTGAATGCGCCATGCAGATTTCAAAGGCCCAACTCAGGTAGAGCCTAATGTCCATCCGATTGTCTTCTCTTAGCAGATGGGGCACATCGCAGCCAGCCCAAAGCCAGGTGTGGTGACTCACACCTGTAATCCCAGCACTTGAGAGGGGAAGCTGAGGCAGGATTACTATAAATTACAAACCAGTCAGGGTTACAGAATCAGATACTGTCTTACACACACACACACACACACACACACACACACACACACACACACACACACACACGCACCTGACTAGCCTGGAAGCTGTATCTCTAGTCCCACTAGCGATCTTAAGCCTGACACAGACTCTGGATTCTGTCTCTTTTCCTGCCTCCCACAGACCTTTGCGGCTCTCAGGTGAGCCCCTGCATGTTCCTCATGCCCTGGCCTTTGTATAGTCTGTCTCCACCACAGGAGTACCCTCCCACTGCACCCCCCCAGCAGGTCTCACTCCTGTCTCTCCCCCACCCCCGCCCGCCCCCAGCTTTGGCTCAGAAGCAGTCCACACCAGGCAGCCCCTGGATTGTAACCCATCCTGGCAGTCTATTCACATTTGCATATCTCCCTTGTCACAGGACCTTTCTGTGACCTGAAAAGGTGACTTCAATCCATGGTGACTCAGAATTCTCCTCTATGAAAAAATGGTCACAGCCACCTGTAAACAAGCCATGAAGAGTTAGAGGGATGGTGACTGGGAAATCTCACCACAAAGGGTGTGGCGTTGCGTACTTGTTACTGCGCCCTAGAAGCTGAGGCGGGAGGATGGTATGTTTCATATCAAAGTGAGGTGTGTAATCACACCTGTAATTGAGGAGTCATGCCAGCATTGAGGAAGACCAAGAGTCAGAGAGAGAGACCAGCCTGGGCTACTTAGGACCCTGCTTATATACCCCAGGCTGGCTTCAAACTCCCCTTGACCTTCAACTCCTGATCTGCGATTCCCACCTCTACCTCCAGAGAGCTGGGATTATAAGCCTCCACCAGGATTTCTGGCTTATGCAGCTCTAGAGATCAAACCCAGGGCCTTGTGCATACTGTGCAAGCAGACCACCAACTGAATTCCATTCGCTGGTACAATTTTTATTGTATTTATTTTTTGAGGCAGAGTCCCACTATGTAGGTCTGTCTGGTCAGGAATTTGCTATGTAGATCAGGCCTTGAACTCTCAGAATTCCACACTGGGCTCTACTTCAGTGTTTTCTCCCCAGAGTGCTGAGGATGAAGGCATGCTACACCACACCTGGCTATTTTATTTGTTGGGACAGCGTCTCAGGTAGCCCAGGATGGATTTGAACTCGTTACATATTAGAAGATCGTGTGCACCTGACTGACGTCCTCCAGATACCACTGTTGACAGGCGTGTACACTGTTTTTCTAACTCTGTCTTAGAAGCTCACCCTCTCCAGCACTGGAAGACACAGTCTTGGAAAATGTGAAAAGCAGGAAGTGACGGTGCTCGGGACCATCTTGGGTGATGTCATCTGCTCTGACATATTGGGTCACTATAAATGTTTGACCTTTTCATCATTTCCCACAACCTCCCCTTTATGGAGCAGAGTTACAAAGGGGAAGGGTGGGGAGAGAACTAGGTTTATTGCCCCATCCCGAAAACATCGCAGCCTGACAGTGTTCCTGAGTCAGAGGAGGAAGCAAGGCTCAAGGGGGTCATAATGCAAGTGCTGCACTTTGACCTCCAGGACAGGCTTCTCTTCCCACCCCCACCTCACCTCTACCCCATCGAAACTCCCCTCCCACCTCATCCCTATCCCACCCCAAATCCCCTCACACCTCACCCCTACCTCATCTCAAATCCCCTCCCCCTCCCCCCTCCCCCATCCCAAATCCCCTCCCACCTGACCCCTACCCAATCCCAACTCCCTTCCCACCTCACCCCTACCCCACCTCAAATCCCCTCCCACCTCACCCCTACTTCATCCCAAATCCCCTCCCACCTCACCCCTACTTCATCCCAAATCCCCTCCCACCTCGCCCCTACCCCATCCCTTTCACCTCACCCCTACCCCATCTCAGCTCCCCTCCCACCTCACCCCCACCCCATCCCAAATCCCCTCCCACCTCACCCCCACCCCATCCCAAATCCCCTCCCACCTTACCCCTACCCCATCCCAACTCACCTCTCTGCTACTTCTCCTAGGATGTGAGGATAGTTATCTGAACCTCTCAGGGCATTCCCGAATTTCCCACCATTAGAACTATAGGAACTTCTAGCTTTGTTACTTTGGGGGAAGGATCCGGTTGAAAACTTTCACTGCAAAGTGGCTGTGGTGGTACACACCTGTAATCCCAACCCTTGAGAGGCAGAAACCCTGTCTGAGGTCAGCCTGATCTACACAGTATGAGTTGAAGGCCAACCTCGACTATATACAGAGAGAGATCTGTCTAAGGAAAAAAAGGAGGACCAGATATGGTGGCACATGCCCTTAATCCTAGCATTCCAGAGGCAGAGGCAGGTGAGACCAGCCTGGTGCACATAGCCAGCCCCAGGCCAGCCAGGGCTACATGCTGAGGACCTGCCGCAAAAATTAAAGAAGGCACGTTAGCTATTACATCACATCGCAGCCCACAATGTCATCTCACCCCTTGAGAGCCTGAAGCCGGAGGACGTGAGTTTAAGGACAGCCTGAACCTTGTCTCAAAAAAACCTTTTCTCACTCCCTAGGAACGTGGCAGGTGTTTAGTATGCATGTGTATAATGACGCACATGCCCATGAACACAAGGATAGAGGGCAAAGGTCAACACCGGGTGTCTTCCTCTAGTCCTCTCCCCCTTATTTTTTGAGACAGGGTCTCTCACTGAACCTGGCCGGAGCTCACTGATTGGCTAAACAGGCTGGCCAGTGAGCTCCCAGGATCCTTGTGTCTCTTCTTGCCCACCTCAGGTGGAGATGCCAGCTGGAGATCTAAGACTTTACCCACTGAGATAGCTAGTGGGTAAAGCCCTATCTAGGTACTTAAAGATACTAAACACTTGCTGCAGTACTGCAGAAATCATACCAGGGGTCTGGGGTTTGGATATGCTAGGCTACACACACACACACACACACACACACACACACACACACACACACCCCTTCCCTAGAGTTGTCTACATCCACCTGGCTTCTGGATGACTCAGGGAGCATGTGCATGCCATGCAGGGGCACATCTTAAATAAGACATGTTAGGGTTAGGGATTTAGCTCAGTGGTAGAGCGCTTGCCTAGCAAGCACAAGGCCCTGGGTTCAGTCCTCAGCTCTGGAAAAAAATTAAAAAATAAAAAAATAAACATTTATTAAATAAGACATGTTGCATCTGCCTTTTCTTCCTTGACCCTTCAGAACAGAACACACTCCCACGCACACCCACATGCCCACTCCCACCCATACCCTGTCACGGAAGGGAATGCAAGGTTACTTTTCTATTGCTGTGAGGAGACACCATGACCAAGGCCACTTATCCAAGAGTGTATTTGGGGCTTACAGTGTCGGAGGGTTCGGCCGTGACCACAGCAGAGAGTGTGGAAGCAGCCAAGCCGTCATGGTGCTGAGGTAAACCAGTTCTCACCGGATTGGTGGTTCTCATCAGGCGTGGTGATTCCGGTTGGTCACCCCAGAAGTAGGGAGGCTAAGATAGAAGGATCACTGTGAGATGAAGGGTAGCCTGGGCTATAGTGGGAGGCCATCTCAAATAACACCAGCCTACATACAAACACACACCACTGTCTCTCGATGGCAGGTGTCTGAGAACAACTGAAGGGAGTGGCATCTCAGTGTGAAAGGTTCTCGTACCCTGACAGTGGGTTTCTCCACCAATGCAATAAATCGATCAGGCCAAATTCAAGGTTTTAATCTGAGCAAAGCTTTCCCCGGGGGGTCTCAGGGGAGGAGAAACTACGAGGCCAGTCTATGAGCCGGGTCTTAAATACCCTGTAGGCGTGGTCTCAAGCATCTCAGAGGGAGGAGCCGCAGCTTGGCAGGCTTTCTCAGGGGTGGGGTCTGGAGAGGGAGAAATGGAGCCTAGGTTGGGCTTCTACCTCAACAGTCTATATCTGGAAAAAAGATCAGTGTGAGGTACCAACACAACCACTCACACAGGCTCACAGCGCCAGTTTCCAGCTCCCAGCAAGTTCCAGATATGGATGCTTCCATCTGGGAACATGTTCCCTTCAGGGGACACTTCCTGATGCCAATCAAAGCCTAAGCAGTGAGCCTTCCACTTTGCTTCTGCTAGAGGCCAACTCTCAGTGTCCTGGAAGATTCAGAAAAGAGGAATTATAGACCCTGGCTCTGATTCAATATTAACCCTCAGGGGACACAAAAGGTCACTATTGGGGTCTGGAAAGATGTCTCGGGGGTTAAAAATACTTGTTGCTCTTGCAGAGGACCCAGGTTCTCTTCCCAGCACCCACATGGAAGCTCACAACCATCTGTAACTCCAGTTCCAGGGGATCTAATTCCCTCTTCTGAACTCTGTGGGCACCACACGCATGTGCTGCACAGACATACATGCAGGAGAAATATCCATACACATAAAATAAAAAATAATTTCATTTAAAAGGTCACCGTGGGGCTGGAGAGATGGCTCAGGGGTTAAGAGCACTGGCTGTTCTTCCAGAGGTCCTGAGTTCAATTCCCAGAAGCCTCATGGTGGCTCACAACCATCTGTAATGAGATCTGATGCCCTCTTCTGGAATGTAGATATACATGCAGAGCACTCATGTAAAATATAAATAAATAAAATTATTTTTAGGTCCAGCTAAGCCTGGTTGGGGAAGGGAGATGCACTGTATTATTAATTTTTTTCTACAAGTGGCTAAAATACCCAACAGAAACAGTTTAAGAAGGTCTTTTGGGCTCATGACTGGAGAAGGCACAGACCATCCCCAGGGAGGCATGGCAGTGGGAGGTTGTAGTCTGACTTATTCACATATCTGAGATCAGGACGTTGGACCCAGATTTAGTCTGACCCTCAAGGCTGGCCTTCCAGCAACCCACTTCACCCAGGTAGCCAAGTAGGCATTGCCTCCTGAAGGTCCCCCAACAGTACTAATTGTTGGGATCAAGAGTTCAAACACTGGCCAGGCAGTGGTGGCCCACACCTTTAATCCCAGCACTCAAGAGACAGAGGCAGGTGATCTCTGTGAGTTGGAGGCCAGCCTAGTCTACAGAGTGAGTTCCAGGAGAGTTAGGGCTATACAGAGGAACCCTTTCCTAAAAAAAAACAAAAAAACAAAAAAAAAAAAAAAAAAAAAGAGTTCAAACACTGGATCCTACGAGGACATTTCACATCCTAATCACAACAGATAAACAAAGGAGACTGTAGCTGAGGCTACCCCTTGACTGGGATAGAAGCCCC